TTATCGAGGCCAGGCCACCAAAGATGGCTGCACGCAAGTGCTTTCATCTTGCCTATGCCAGGATGTCCCTCATGTAGAGAGATCAAGATTCTAGACCTCAATGAGGTTGGGAGCACTACTCTGCTACCCCATAACAGGCAACCCTTGAAAGTGGTAAACTCATGCTTCTTGAGCCAGAAGCTTTGGAACTCAGTATCAGGGCACTTGTCAGGCCATCCTGACAACACCCATGTCAGCACACATGTAAGCGTGTGATCAGTGGCTGTTTCTGCAGCCACATCCCTAGCATTAAGGGGAGACTCAGGTAACTCCTGGATGGACAGAATATTAATTGCTGGAGCTAGATCTGGCTCTACTTGGTTCAGGGGTAATCTGCTCAGGCCATCTGCATGACCCATTTCTTTTCCTGGTTTGTGGACCAATGTACAGTCATATGCTGACAGGAAAATGGACCATCTCAGCATGCGAGGAGAAATTATACGTCGGGTCTGTTTGTTAGTGGTAAACAACCCCAGCAGAGGCTTATGGTCAGTAAAGACCGTGAAATAGCAGCCATATAAGAAATCATGAAATTTCTTAATGCCAGCCACTATGGCCCAGGCTTCTCTGTCAATTTGAGCGTAATTTCGCTCAGCAGAAGACAGAGTCCTTGAATAATAGGCCACAGAGACCTGCGTCCCATCAGCCTTCAGGTCACTGAGTACAGCTTCAACCCCATAAGGAGATGCACCGCATGAGATGCAAACAGGCAGTTGTTCATTGAAATGTGCTAAAACAGCATTAGAAGTGAGCAACAGCATTGAAACTCTTTTCATGCACTTTGGTCCACTGCCAAGAAGCCTGCTTGTCTAAGAGCCTGTGTAATGGCTCTGCCACAGCAGCCTTATATAGGAGAAAAGCATGGTAAAAATTTAATAGCCCCAAGAAGGCTTGCAGCTCACTCTTAGATTTAGGGCTTGGGGCCTGCTGGATGGCTTGCAATTTAGATTCAGCAGGGGGAATGCCTTAAGCATCTATCCTGAATCCTAAGAAGTCAGTAGAAGTGACTCCTATCATACATTTATCCTTCTTTAGTTTAAGGCCTGCTTTTCGAAAACGCAGTAAGACAGCCCTTAATCTCTCAGCTAAATTTTGAGATCACTCTCCAGCAATGAGGACATCATCAAAATAGGAACAGACCCCCAGAATACCTCGAAGTGTGCTCTCCATGACACTTTGGAATATGCCAGAAGCTACATTTACCCCAAATTGCAGTCTCTTGACCTTGAATGCCCCTCTGTGACTTACAATAGTCTGGGCCTCTGCAGCTGCCTCATCAACAGCTGTTGACAGGCCTGTGCCAGGTCAAGCTTCGCAAAAATGCGCCCCTCCCCCTTGAGGGAGGCCAGAATGTGGCTTACTACAGGCACTGGATAAGCGTGCTGTTGCAGCGCCTTATTCAGTGTGTACTTGTAGTCTGCACATATACGTATGTCCCCATTAGCCTTTAGAGGTGTTACTATGGGGTTTCCCATGGACTAGAATCTACAGGTTCTAAAATGCCCTGCTGGAGCAGTTTGTCCAGCTCAGCATCAATCTTGCCTTTGAGGGCAAAAGGTACCCTTCTAGGCTTAACCCTGATGGGTGTGATGTTTGGGTCTAACCGTAGTGAAATTGGGGGCCCCTTGTAGGATCCTAACTCTGAGCTAAACACATCTGCAAATTCCTTGCAGACTTCTGCAAGACTTAACGTTTGCAAATGGTGCAGCCCCGTGACCTGGATTCCCAGGGCCTCGAACCAATCGAGTCCAATAAGACTCGTGCGTTCACCCCCAACAACCACCACATCAAGGGAACCTTCAAAATCCTTACGTTGTACTTTAAGGGTGACCTCCCCCTTAACACACACCATAGAATTCTGAAAATCTGTAAGAATTAGGTTGGACGGCCTGAGTTTAACTCAAAAGCCACTGCTGCTGCATATCCTTTTGAATGTATTAAGGGAAATAATGGAGAGAACGGACCCAGTGTCCAACTCCATTGATAAGGGAACCCCTTGCAGCCTTAAGTTGATGGACAGCTTCTTCTTAAGGGGCTTATGTGTCCCTGTCTTTAAAATAGTCCTGCACGATGTGCAGAAACCCATCCTATGTTGGCTGGGGACCCTGGTATCTTTCAGATGCAATTCTTCACGCGGTTGTACCTTCTGGCAACCCAAACAGATGGATGCGATGTGGCCTTGCCTGCCACACGCTCTGCAAATGGCGAAGCAGGATCTGCACTCAGCTCGCTTGTGGCATCCTCCGCACCCGAGGCATTGAAGAGATGCTGGGGCCTTGTCCGGACCTTCCTTCTGCCTCCTTCCAGGTGGTTGGTGAAGTCTATCCACCTCTTCTTCAGGATCCACTTCCAATTCTTCTCTAGCGTCCTCTTGATGGACGGTAGCTGACTCTGGAGGGTGCTTGGTGGGCCGTATAGCCTTCACAGCCCCGCCTGCTGCTTCCTCAGCTGTAACTTCTTGTAGAGCATCTTGGAAAGAGACATCTTCTTTGGCAAAAATCTTCTGCTGTAAGTCTCTGTTCCTTAAACTGCATACGAAGCAATCTCACAGCCTCTCTTTCAGATCTTTAAACTCACATGGTCTGGCTGCTTGCCTTAAGGCCGCAATAAAATCCATAGCAGATTCACCTGGCCTCTGGTCTCTCTGCTCGAACGCATGCCTCCAAGCAATAACAGATAACTTTGGCTGGAAGTGTTCCTTTAGCATTTTCTTCAAATCAGTATACATTACTGACTCTAGAGGTGCAGGAGCCACCAGATTCTCTGCAATTTCGAAAGCTTCTTGTCCACAAACACACAAAAGCGTTGCAGCTTTCAAGCCATCCTCTCTAATTTGATTTACTCTGAAGTAATTCTCCCCCCTTGCAACATAGGAGTTCCATCTGGTAAGTCTTTAAAACCTTCTATTTAATTTTCAAAGGATCCCACCTTCGTCGCCAGTGTTAAATACTCCGTTCGGTTGCGAATGATGACTCAACATGGCGAAGTTCAACAGCTCTTTATTCCTCTTTTAATCAATAGTCCAACGACGAGCAACAGGCGCGCAGGCCTTTTTAAGCGACCAGAGACCCGGACAATAACACAACAAAGTAGCAGGCCATTTTTGCACCTTGCACATGCGCACAAGGCCGGCGCCACTTGGTCTGGTCCCGGGCAGCTTTTGGAATGTCTGGGACCAATGCAACATCCTGAGCCTACTTTTGCAGGCTCAGGACACAACAGATAGCAACAAGTTTCAGTACCTGAGAGGGATTCTTTTCTAATCCATGAAATATTTTCTCAGGAGAACTAGAAGAATCAGTGCTCAAAAATCCAGAACAAAAGTTTCTAGGCCACTATCAGTTCTCAGTTCCTCCAGAGTTGAGTCTCCAGGAAAAGGCATTTCCAACTTCCAATTTTTAAGCATTTGCACTTGGTAATGGTTCACTTCTTCTCTGGACTGGTAACAGTGGTAAATCGTAGCTCATTAGCAACATAGTTTAGTACATCATCTCGAAGACATAGGCCTGTTTTCTGCTCCTCGGATTACATGTTAGTGCTGTACTCAACCTACAAAGATGGAGATTGAGCATCTCATATTAGCTGTACATGTTCATGAGACAAAACATCAAGGAAAAAATTATCCAGAACACAGATATTCTTTTTTTACATCCTGCTTTCCATGGAAGATCATATTCCTACTTCTAAACACAAAATACCTTGACGTAATTTTTAACTGAATTGCTTTGGAGATGCACACATACATAGCAATCCTTATAGTATCTAAAGAGAAATCAAAGCACTCCCTAGAAGAGCTCAGTTTGTAGCCTGCTTTACTGAGTAGTTTGAGAAATGGCTTATCTCATCTAATCTAGTGAGTTCATGACAAGAGTCATTTAACCTGGTCTGCACATTAGCCAGTTTGGTGTCATGTAGTTTTCTACACTGCCCAGAGTCCACTGGAGCTGGGCAGTCATAAAGTTTAAATAAAATAAAATATAGATAGTTCTTGACTTACGGCCACAACTGAGCCCAAAATTTCTCTTGCTAAGCAAGGCAGTTGTTAAGTGAGCTTTGCCCCATTTTACAACCTTTCTTTCCACAGTTGTTAAGCGAATCACTGCACTTGTTAAGTTAATATCATGGTTAAGTGAATTTGGCTTCCCCATCGACTTTGCTCGTCAGAAGGTCACAAAAGGTGATCACATGACCCCATGACACTGCAACCATCATAAATATGAACCACTTGCCAAGCATCCAAATTTTGATCACATTGTCATAGGGATGCTGCAATGGTCATAAGTATGAAAAATGGTCATAAGTCACTTTTTTCAGTGCCATTGTAACTTCAAACAGTCACTAAATGAACTGTTGTAAGTCAACGACTTCCTGTAAATTATAAATGGTTAAGGCACTGGGCTAAAAACTGGGAGACCATGAGATCTAGTGCCATGTTAGGCATAAAGGCAGCTGGGTGACTTAAGGTCAGTCACTCAGTCTCAGCCCCAGGAAGAAGGAAATAGAAGATTTTCACTTCTGAAAAACCTGCCAAGAAAACTGCAGGATCTGGTCCAGGCAAGTGCCAGGAATTAACACTGACTCAAAGGCATGTGTACACACATCATTCGCTCTACCTTGATGCAATGGTTGTTTTTAAACATTATTTTAAACTATATTAAATGGGGAAGATAAATTATCATTCGGCATGGGGAGGGAGAACCGTCTTAGCCCAAGAATCAGGGTTTTCCCTTTACAGGTCTGTATAAAGATGGAGTATAAATCCTGCTGTCCAGAAAAGACCAAAGAGTACTGGTGTTGGCATAGACATGCAATGAGATCTTCAAGGAAAGTGAATAGTTCAGCCCTGCTGCTTCAAGAGATGTGCCTGATGGCAAAATAGCACCCAGGCAGTGTACTAAACCTCCATGATCCCTGTGAGAAGTAGGTTTTTCTGAGTTATTAAGAAAAAGAGTAACTCTTACGTTGTCAATGTGTGGCATGCTCTGTTTTCGGTTCCTGGTGATATAGGTAATTGCATCATGCACTGATGCAAAAAGGTGGTTCTTGGTTATGGTTTCATTGAAAAAATTGCCTCTTTCCAGCTGGGTAATGACAGTGCCTGCAGAGAGAAGAACAGTAAATTACTTGACAGAACCATACAGAGGCACATCTACTATTTGTGGTGAGAACACTAGTGATGAATCCAGTCAATGTCACTTTCATTTAGTCCAACAAATCTGGAAAGAGCAAGATTGGGGCAAGCTATCTGCCCATTTTAATAAAGCCAGGTGAGAACATTTATTTTGCAAATTTCCTGCTTTTTTTTCTCACTAGAAGGTCTACTCAAGACTGGGATCTGTAAAACCCCCCCCCCCTTTAACTTTGTACTCTTTCCTTGATCAAAATTACTTCTAGTTGTTACTGTACAGTGTATACTATATACCTCCCCCAAGCTGGTTGTATTGAACTACCACTTTCATATTTCCAACTAATGTTGCACAATACAACTGAATGTCATGAGCTGGGAGAGACAATGTTATTAGCCTGGTGGGTGGCATGCTGTGGAGAGATTCCTGTTTGCTTTAGTGGAAATTTATGTAGGGGTTGACTTATGCTTAGGAAAAAGTATGATTTTTCTCAAGCTATCCCCATGGGACTCTTAAATAATACCAAATTATGAGATATATATCCTATTTTTCAGTCTGATTGTATCTGGGCTGCAAAGATATATAGATTAATACTGAAAGGCAACAAAGAATGTTTTGGTCTCTTTACTGCCACCCAGTAGCTTTCTGCATACCATATTTTCAGCTCAGCCTCTGCTAACTTGGCCTTTTGTTGAAACTTATATAGGTAGTCCTTGATTTAAGACTATAATTGAGCCTGGCAATTAATGTTACAAGTCTTGACAGTTGTAAAGCAGATCATCACATGACTGGACCCAATTTTACAACCTTATTTGGGGTGGTCATTGAGCAAATGTAGCAGTTCAGTTAATGTCACAGTTGTTAAGTGTATATTGTATGCCATTGGCCAATTTTTGCTGGAAATTGGAAGCAAACACTGGTTTCTGGCAAAACCATCATAAATCATGGCCATGTGACTGTGGGGTACTGCAAAAGGCCATAAGTGCAGGCTGGTTTCTGCGTATCCAAAATGTGGTCACGTGACCACAGGGAGGGAGCTGATATAGGAACTCTGAAATTGGGTCGTAAGTAGCTTTGGGGGAGTGGAGGTATCCATGGTAACTTCAGTCGCTAAATGACCATTCGTAAGTCAAGGATTATCTGTAATGCTGAAACTCATAAACGCCTGTGGGAAGAATCCACAGAAGGAAATATTCTGGGGAATATTAAAAAGGCAGAATATATTTCTCCAAAGGAATAATGGAGAGGATCTTTAAAAAGACAGAAACCAACCCCAGCTCTTCTCCCCCAAGCAGAAACTAGGCAAATGACAACTTTTAGAAATGCATATGTAATAATCCATTCAGGAAGGTTGGAGCCATGAAGCTATTAGGACAACAAAGACACCTAAAATCTACATACCCCCACCCAAATTCTAAGGACAGGAGACATAATAGGATTAACCCGCCAATACCAAAAGGGCATACACAGATTCAGATCAAAGTACATAACACAGGAAATACAAAGCCTCAAACAGTAACAGGAAACAACCTCAAGAACCCCAGAAGGTATAAAAACCCACCACTCCCTGCTACATGTGGTCAGTTTTTCCCAGAGCCATCTTTCTGTCTGGCTCTCCTCTTCCATAAACTGCAATCTTTTTTCTAAAGCAGTCTCCATTTTGTTTATTCCCAGCTTGGACTGGACCCCGATGAGGATTTTTTCCTTCAACTCACCCATGAATTAGACCTTGACTGACACACAAGAGCCAGAGCCTGAAGCCAAAAGAGGAATGTTTGATTCAAAGTACACCCACTCCCAAGGTAATGACTTCCTAGAACTTTCTTACCATGGCAACTAGCAAGAAACACATCCACTTGAATCTCCTGGAAATCTTTAAATATCTGCAGAAGGCAACAAAGCAGAAATATCAGGATTGAAATATAAATGCCTGTGTTTCCCCAGCTGGTCAATTAAGGCTAAGTAAGAAAACTGCTAATGGAGTTTTCCTTTAAGATAGCATGATCCAGATGTTTTGGTGTTTGAGTTCCATTATCCCCCCACCCAGAGCATGCTAAAGGGAGTTACTGTAAAGTCCATCACAATGGGAAGATGCACAGTTGAAAAGGATTTACTAGAAAGTTATTTCTATCCCCCTCCATTTGTTCTTTCAATCCTTTTAAGTTTAGTGAAGCAGCAGTATCCATGAGCAATCTGCCACAGAAAAGAGCCTTATTTCTGAAAAGCTGGGGAAATAAATGCTTTCTTGGCATTTTGAGGTCTTGCCAACCATTTCAATTACAGCACACATATGTGTGCTGGGGAGAAGTGTCCAAATGAGAGAATTGATTTAAAGCAATCAAGAAGATGCAGGAGAGCCATTTTTAGGAGGTCAGAAATTGAAGTGAACTCATAACCTTCTTAAGTCCAGAACTCAACGGGAGACCATGATCAATTTTAGCATTTTCTACACATGACAAATACAAATAGATGTTACATTCATGGAATCTCAAGATCTCTATGATCTTTAAGGGCTAGAGAGTCACATTTTTCAGATGGGCAATTTATAGGGAAAGGTAGAAGGTGGTAAAAGATTATAAACAATTTCATCATCCTGGTGACTTTGAAGCAAAGAGTCAAATAATTTTTCTTGGAGAATATCACAAGGGAATTTCCAGACTTTCTTGATTCAGAAAGAAAACACTACTTTTACCATTTCTTCCCTCGAACAAACAGGACATTGGAACAAATGTGGATTTTTTGACAGAATTTCAGCAGGAAAAGAAAGCAGTTAAATCCACTCTTCATATGGGCAGTGGCATTTATTCCTTGCACCTCCCTCCTACAAGGTCAGTTGGCCTTTCTTCCAAAATGGGGCACAGCCATACATCTGAAAGCTCTCCTTTTCCTTACATTTTTTAAGGTCTTTATGGAGACAGTGTCCACAAAGGTGACAGAGCTGAAGTCCAGAATGATTGAGTGGATAGAAGGCTTTTCCAACCCCAGACTATTTAAACTGGGTTTGCCACAATATTGTGGCTGGTGGTGACTTGGGGGATCCGAAGCCATCACAGTTCCATTGATCTCAATATCTACTATGCCTTCCTCTGGTTCCTGCAAGAAAGGAGAAGTAGAGTTGATTACTTGGAGGGATTCTCCTGGTTGTCTTTGCTATTAAGAGTATGCATGGAATGTGAAAAGTGTGGATTTAGTTCTACTAGATACAGGAAATCCCTTTCTATGGACAGAACATAATCATATGTTGGGTACTCACACGTTACCTTAAAACCCAGAAAAATATTTGGAACATCAGAGAGCTCAGATGCTAGTTTTTTGAGGCAATGAACAAGATCATAGGAGGTATGTAAATTTCCTTAGGAAAAAAATATGAACAAACTTGGTGAAAGAAACAAGAAATCTAAAGCAGTAATAGCTCCTTCCTGTATTTATCTTAGTAGTGGTTGTGTCATGTTGAAAGTACTGTCATGGCAACTTAGTAACCTAGTGAAAAGTATCTCACTACTTTTTGGTTCTTGAGAGCAATTAAGTCTGTGTGTGTGTGTGTGTGTTCACATATACACACATGTTGTACTGCATGTGTGTATATGTGAACACAGAGGTACAACATGTCAGAATTGCATTTTTTTTGTCAGAATGCATCTGTCAAATGTCCAAAAGATATATCTATTGAAACTTATTGTGGATATATTATATACAGTACTATTGGATTTCTACCTGTACAAATAAGAATAGAATAGATTAGAATAGAATAACAGAGTTGGAAGGGACCTTGTAGGTTATCTAGTCCAACCCCCCCCCCCCAAGCAGGAGACCCTACACCAGGGGTGTCAAACTGCCGGCCCGCAGGCAAGTTTCATTATACCGGAGCTGCGCCCACCCCATTGCCAGCAATGGTGAAAAAGCTCCGATACCTCGCGTGACGTCACATGACGTCGCGAGTTTGACATGCCTGCCCTACACCATTTCTGACAGATGGCAATCCAGTCTCTTCTTGAAAGCTTCATGTGATGAAGCTTCCACAACTTCTGCATATGATGAGGCACTGCTTACAATAATCAAAATTAGGTCCATACAAATCAGTAAGAAATCCATTTGTGGGAAGGGATTGTGTGGATCAACTAAATATTAGCACTGTAAGTAAAAAGATGCCTTGTACTGATAAATATAAGTAAATATAAGTATGATTTCATCAGGTGCATCTCTATGAATTGAATGGGATAGCTGTACCTCTTTAGCCTCTACCTAGAGACTTCCCTCTCAATCCCAGGCTTGATCTGAAATCTCAGATCTTTGAAAACTTTGGTTGGAGAAAGTGTCACTTGTAAATCCATACTTATGAAGCTCAGCAAAGACTTACCACTTTTGTTGCCTGGTTATTCAACATTTAAACCCTACTTTGCTGGGTTTTGAAGCCAAAAGTGCTCACTTACACAGAAATACATACATACAGTATACAAATGGGTTTACTGAGCTATAATAATGTCCTAAATGCAGTGGTGGGATTCAGCTGGTTCGCAACATTTCGGCAGAATCAGTAGCTACTTTTTTGTTGCCCAGGCCCAGAATGGACTTCCAGAAGCAGCATCCACACAGAGAATCAGTTTTTAATATATTAGAATCCCACCACTGCCTAAATGCCTAGGCAATGTTGTCTGTACTTTCTCTTTTTAAAATGATTGTACATGGTACAGTACTTGTGACTTTGCATCCATCTCTACATCCTCAAATCCAGGGTTGTTTTCTCCAGATTTTTTAGCAGTTTTCTGTTACCAAAAACAAGAAGAAAACATAGATCACAATAATTACAGAACTCTTTCTTCATATGACATTTTAAGAAACATACAATTAATTTTGGATCAAGGAAGAAAATGACAAAAGTTAGGACCACGGTATGTTGGTGCCATGCCATGGTAGCTTATTGCACAAGCCATAGTTAAAACAAATGAAAGTCCAGTACAGTATGTGAACAAATAATGGTGTGCTACCCAAAGCTGAGTAAAGATGTTGTTTTTCTGCACATAAACTGTTGACGTAGAACTGATAGAAATATTGATTTTGTCTAAACCTGCTTCTTAGGATTTTTGTTCTGTTCTCTGTCAATAAAACAGAGAGTTGCAGTCCAGCAGTGCTCTCAGTATAAAAGTTTTCTATATCATGTATGGAAAATATAGCAATACAGCAGTACAATCCAGCCAGCCATTGTTTCCAGCTTTATCCATGTCTATTTGTGAATGAGAATGCAGTATAGAAAATATCTGAAGGGCTCCAGATTAGCGAAGGTTAGTCTAACCCCCTTCATCTTTTTTTATCTATAGATAAAACCAGATCCAGGTGTCCTTGTGGAAAATAGTCCACTTGGAATTTAGAAGAAGAAAAAAAAACACTAGTCAGAAAAGGTACCTTGGCTTCTTTTTTGTCTTTCTTTTGCTTCCTCTTCAAAGCTTTCACCTTCTTTTCAATGAGACGGCACACATCAATGCCACACTATAAAAGAGACAAGTAGTTACATCTCAGGATGCAAATGACAGCTGCCAGTTTTTTGACGTGTGATGGGCTATGGTCAAAAAGTCAAGATGGCCGACACCGTGGTGTGGTTGAAGCTCTGCCTATCTTTGATATGCCTTGCACCATGCGATGCACATCAAAACCAGGCAGAGCTTTGGTATGTTTCCCATCTTGACTTTTTTTTTTTATCATATCCTGCAGATATTCCTGGAAGACACCATGATCTATTTTACTCATTTTCATTCCACCAGGCTTGTTAAAAGAAGCTTTGGATGGTGGGATGCACCTGCTGAGAAGGTCCCATTTAAGGTATGAGTTGATATTTGAAATAATCTGGTGGACTGATATGTGATAAGAAAAGTTTCACTAAAATAAAAAGAGTTGTTTTGCACTTTCCCTCACACTTCCTTTTATTGGGCCCCTGACTTCAATGGGTAAAATGGTGGAAAAAATATGGTCATACAGTACAGAAAGACAGTGAGTGGGTAAGGGCTTGTATCAACCCCTTATTTTACTACTTGTATATTTACTCAGTGCTCACTGGTTTTTTTACTCATCCAGGAGTGACAGTCTTTTTGGAGAGAGAAAGCTATACAAGTCAGGTAAGCTCATGACTGCATTAGGCCATTATAAGGATCTGCTGTGGGGACAGCCTAGAAACAGAAATTATTTCAAAACAGAAGATATTAACTGGCACCAGCCATTGACATAAAAAGACTGTTAATTCCTAATAAAGAGCTTTATTAGTTTTTGGACAATTTCTGAGTACAATTCAGGGAGCTGCTATTTACTTGGATGTGCTGTGGGTAGGTGGGGAATGGGTTGGAAATGGCTTTTCTTTAGTAAAAGGCGAAAGATTTATACAATCTGAAGAGAAACCAGAGTATGTCCACTTATCATCGTTCACAAAGATCTTCCTCAGAGGCTGTCCTCTGGGTTTCTGGGAATGTGGCAGAAGGTTTTGGAGGTGGGAGGAATGTTTCTGGGAAGGAGATCTCTGCAAGAGATATTATCCCTTGTGCCTTAGGAAAACCACCAATTTGTTTCCCCCTGCTTTTGACATCTCACACAGTCTATTCATTCACCAGTATTATTATTATTATTATTATTATTATTATTATTATTATTATGGATCATCGCACAGTCAGCCAGATGTTCAGACTGGATTTGGCATTTTGTCTACCTATCGAGTCCTTACCCAGGACCTGGGATAGGCAGATGTGGATGTTTGATGGTATTACAGATATCGTCGCAGGATGGAAGCAGTTCCTAATAAGGCCGCCTTTTGCAATTGACTAATAACGAATTTGTCAATGCCAATGGTGTTCAAGTGGTGCTCCAGTTGTTTTGGGATTGCACCCAAGGAGCCTATTACTATTGGTACTACCCTTGTTGTTGTTGTTGTTGTTGTTGTTGTTATTATTATTATTATTATTACTACTACTACTACTATTATTATTTATCATCAGTTATGCATCCCCTTGGAAACTCTAAATGAGAAGATGGCACACCAACTCTAAACAGGGAAAGTAAACTCAAAATTTAATCAGAAGAGCAACACTGAGACGGCTGGGCAAAATGAAATTCCTATAAATTTTTCCTAGTCTGAATCATCAATTAAAAACATATTTTAGCCCAATGGAGTATATATATCTATACTTTGTAATTGGGTAATTTTTAGTGAGAAATTTAGACTTGGTTTCTCTCTTGACCATGCTGATACTTTGTAACCAATAAACATGTTCTTTGTGGAATTCACAAGCCTTGGAGTTCTGCTTTATTTGTCTCTGTCTATCGGAACCATTACACACACACACACCACACAGACACACACACAGACGTATCTATCTATCTATATATATATATGTGTGTGTGTGTGTGTGTATGCCCAAGTGTGGATTTCGATAAGAAATGCAGGTTGACCCCCTGCCCTGCCTTCAACGTTGCTGCTTTAATTCCGAGCTTTTGATCATTTTGTAACAGCTTTATATGCAGAATAAAAATGCACTTCTTTTTCCCTGAGCAAAGATGAAAGCCAAGGGTGAATTAAATGTACCACAAGAGCACTCCCACACAGGAGTTGAAAGAATACCTGTCTCTTGATTCCTTCTAAGTGGAATATAGCTCAAAGCTATTTTAGAGGTCATAGATTGCCACGAATGAGCAACCAAGCAAATACTAAGAATAAACTCTAAAGTTTTTCTCACCTTTTTTTTAAGGGCCTCTGCATACAATTCAGCATTAGCAAAATAGATAGTAGCAGAAGAGTGGAAAATTTTCACACCTGGTATTTCCTTAGCCTGGGGGGAGGGGGAGGAAGGAAGGAACACAAATGTTAAGAAAAGAGAGTTAGCATGGGGTCAATATACAAAGACCAGAATAAATAGAGTTTGATCAGGAACTCCATCTATTTATTTTTAAAGATAAATCAGGAACATTAAGATATATGTAAAATAAGATCTAAAGATGGCGGGAGTCTACTCCAATCCAGACATGATGGTTCCAATCCTGATCAGATCATTATAATTTAGAATATATATATATATATATATATATGTATGTATGTATGTATGTATGTATGTATGTGTATATATATATATATATATATATATATATATATATATATATATATATATTATATATATATATATATATATATGTTTTCTGAGGTTTTCGCGGGTATTTGTATGTAGGTCTTTGGTTGTTCGGGTTTTCTCCCGCGTAAAATTGGAAGTGTCTTGGCGACGTTTCGACGAAGTCCCATTCGTCATCTTCAGGCTGGTGTTTTCAGCTTCGTGCTTCGAGCAGCAATGTGTGGTCTTAGCTGTTTCTTCCTTTTAACTGCCAGTGGGGGTATGAACTGATTGGGTGGGAGCTTGGCTGTGTTCTGATTGGGTGGAGGTGTGTTCTGATTGGTTAGGGGCTTGGCTGTGCTCTGATTGGCTGGGGGGTTGGCTGTGCTCTGATTGGCTGGGGGGTTGGCTGTGCTGTGATTGGCTGGGGGAGTGTTCTGTTTGGGTGGGGGCTTTGTTGTGCTCAAGTTAGTCTGAGTTGCCGGGGGGTTTAAAATGGTGAACTGCATTGCTATTTTTTGGCAAAGAAATCCAATGGCTCCCTAGGACACACCATCTACCAGAAGAAAACACACACAAACCGCTATCTGCATGCTCTCTCACACCACCACCCAGCACAGATCAACTCTGTAGTCAAAACACTCATCTCTAGAACAAAACGCTTAGCTGATGAACAACACCTAAAAACCGAACTACACACTCTCACTAATGTACTTACATCCAATGGATTCCAACAAAATAAGATTACCAAACTAATCCAAAAAGAAACCCCGACTAAAACCCAAGACAGAGAACAAGAAAACAGTAAAGCCCTCCTCCCTTACATAAAAGGCACCACAGACAGAATCAGTAAGATCCTCCACAAATACAACATTAAGACAGCATTCTGCCCAAACAGAAAAATATCCACCATCTTAAGAAACCCCAAAGATAAAATTGAATTAGAAAATCAAGGAGTATACGAAATCCCATGCACCACTTGTCCCACCACATACATCGGACAAACCAACAGAAGAATAAGTGCACGCATTGAAGAACATAAGAACTCAATCAAAAAAGAGGAACCAACTTCTTCCTTGGTCCAACACCTTAAAATCACAGGACATGAAATTGACTTTAAAAAGACCAGAACTATTGCCAAAACTGAACATTTTAATAACAGAATAATCAGAGAAGCCATCGAGATAGAAAAACGCCCACACAGCATGAACAAACGAGATGATACCTCCCACCTACCAGCCATTTGGAAACCTGCCCTTATTGACAAATGACTCCCTAACACAAAAAATGACACCAGACCCACACTCATAAAAAACACACAGGATGTCACCACCACATATCCACGCAAAAAGCAAACCCAAAGCCACACCAATGATGAGGCACGACCACAAACCAGAAGCCAGACCACAGCTGCATCATTAGCCACTTTAAACCCCTCCAATCCATACATGAAGCAAACTGACACCCACCATGAAGATGAGGCACGACCATAAACACGAAGCCAAAAAATAGCAATGCAGCTCACCATTTTAAACCCCCCTGCAACTCAGACTAACCTGAGCACAACAAAGCCCCCACCCAAACAGAACACTTCCCCAGCCAATCAGAGCACAGCCAACCCCCCAGCCAATCAGAGCACAGCCAAGCTCCTAACCAATCAGAACACACCTCCATCCAATCAGAACACAGCCAAGCTCTCATCCAATCAGTTCATACCTCAACTGGCAGTTAAAAGGAGGAAGCACCAGCCTGAAGATGACGAATGAGACTTCGTCGAAACGTCGCCAAGACACTTCCAATTTTACGTGGGAGAAAACCCAAATAACCAAAGACATACAAACACCCGCGAAAACCTCAGAAAACAAACAAATATATATATATATATGCATGTAGGTCTTTGGTTATTCGGGTTTTCTCCCGCATCAAATTGGAAGTGTCTTGGCGATGTTTCGATGAAGTCTCATTCGTCATCTTCAGGCTGGTGTTTTCGTCTTCGTGCTTCTAGGAGCAATGTGTGATCATAGCTGTTTCTTCCTTTTAACTGCCAGTGGGAGTATGAACTGATTGGATGAGAGCTTGGCTGTGTTCTGATTGGATGGAGGTGTGTTCTGATTGGTTAGGAGCTTGGCTGTGTTCTGATTTGATGGGGGGTTGGCTGTGCTCTGATTGGATGGGGGAGTGTTCTGTTTGGGTGGGGGCTTTGTTGTGCTCCGGTTAGTCTGAGTTTCAGGGGGGTGTGAGATGGTGAGCTGCATTGCTATTGTTTGGCTTCGCGTTCGTGGTCGTGCCTCATCTTCATGGTGGGTGTCAGTTTGCTTCATGTATGGATTGGAGGGGTTTAAAGTGGCTAATGATGCAGCTGTGGTCTGGCTTCTGATTTGTGGTCGTGCCTCATCATCGGTGTGGGTTTGGGTTTGCTTTTTGCATGGACGTGTGGTGGTGACATCCTGTGTGGCACAGCCAACCCCCCATCCAATCAGAGCACAGCCAAGCTCCTAACCAATCAGAACATACCTCCATCCAATCAGAACACAGCCAAGCTCTCATCCAATCAGTTCATACCCCCACTGGCAGTTAAAAGGAAAAAACAGCTATGATCACACATTGCTCCTAGAAACACGAAGCCGAAAACACCAGCCTGAAGATGACGAATGAGACTTCGTCGAAACGTCGCCAAGACACTTCCAATTTTACGTGGAAGAAAACCCAAATAACCAAAGACCTACATACAAACACCCGTGAAAACCTCAGAAAACAAATATATATTTGTTAACTGCGTCAAAACGTCGCCAAGACACTTCCAATTTGATGTGGGAGAAAACCCGAATAACCAAAGACCTACATATATATATATATATATATCTTGCATCATGCTCTGATGATGTCGGTAGTGTTGACTGACAAACGACTTAGCTTTTAATTAAACAAGTTTTGTTTTTAGTATTATCCTGGTTTCGGATTATTTTATAGCATATATATATAATTTAGAATAGATATAATTTAGAATATATATATATATATATATATATATATATATTTATTTCACATAATAAGAAAGAAAAGACTGGCAGGAGGCTAGTCTCAACAAAAGAAGCAGAAGTGTTGGACAAGAAGATTATAAGCACAGCAGCTTTACTGATCATTCTCTGTTGTTTTGCTGGGCAGATAATTTCTCAGAGATCACAGGCAGGCATGTCAGCTGTGTCATTTAAACCCAACTTAATAACTGTAATTCTTGGCTAGAGGAGGTTTCCCAGAAGATTAATAAGCACAATACGGACTTTGCCACTGCAAGGATCAGGACCTAATTGGGCCTTTACAGTGGTGGTCTGCATTTGTAGTCTTCTTGCCCACTCTGACCTGCAATACTTCTTCCCTGGTGGATTTTCATAGAACTCTAAAAACTTGGCTATTCAATAAAACCGTCTGGAGATATTATTTGGCCCTGCCCATGATAGATATTTATTATACTAATGTTGCAATAAGATAAGCAAGGATTAACTCCAGAAGAACAATCAAAACAGGAAACAACACCCTAGAGCAGAGAACCACATTCCCACCAAAACTGCCAGGGCAAGCCACTGAATATAAATAGGGAGCAAACCCTGCAGTCACTAGCACTGGTGATATTACCTACTCAGGTAATGAAATGTCTGCAGGCAAACAACCACGCTCAGAGAGTACCAGGTACTCCACAATATTGTTTGTATTGCCTGTTTTTTTAAAAAACTTCTCTTTAATGCATTGCCTTGTAAGTTGTTCAGAGCCAGTCCAGAAAGAGCAGCATAGAAAGTTTAACCGTAAATAAATATCTTTCTCTATGCAGTTGCGGACAATCATCTCCTTTAATCATTTTCATGACATACTTACTTTATGATACTCAGCAATGTCTTTGTAAATTCCTGTGGTGGACACTTGTCCCAAAATAGAATAATAAGGCCTTAGGAAAGGTAATAAAAGAGAAAAAGGATTAGCAAAGGGTTTAGCCTGCTCTCACAATAGATCCTTTGTGACATCTATATCTGGACTTCCTCATGGACAAAGAAGCTGCTTGCTTTATATAGTTATATGTTAAAGTTTCTTTATTGGATTATCTAGTACAGTAATTGTTTATATAAGTAATTGTAGATAAAGCCAGCCATGTATGATGACTCTTTTGAATGTTACCCATGATACTGATAGATTGCAATGATGAAAAAAGATGTAACACAACTTTTTGAGTATTTATACTCTGATTATGCAAAAAGAATGGCTTACGCCTTAACTCTGTTCAGTTAGCACAGTTTAGATTAAACATATAGACTCAGCATATAGTTAAATGGTTCCATATACAGATATAAGGTGCTTTTCTTGGTTCATTGTAATAACAGTGTTTTGATTTAATTATGCATATGTACTGAAATTAGAAGTTCCACCAATAGTAAGATGAAGTCTGTCTTCTGTTAGATACTGAACTTCACCTCCAGAACCTCCAGGCAGAATGGACTATGTTGACGGATCTGGGAAGTACAATTCAGTAGCTTTAAGGGACCACAGTTCCCATGTTTATCTTTAGCTTACACACTCTGATAAAAAAAAATGTTTGATATTACTTGCCTTACTTTAGCACAATTCTGCTTGTCAGTTTCTAAATACGATCTTATCTTTGAACAAATCAACCTGAATCTTTTGAAATGGGGCAGAATATAAATGCCTTATATTGCTGCACTATAAAAGTCTAGCAAAAAGCAATTCCCAAATCTATTTCTCCCATCCTCTTGCTAGCTAGTGTAATACTCACATCTGAGTCCGGAATATGACAGTGAAGAGTGAAAATGTCACAGCTGCTGCCAGTCCCAAGTCAAGATTCAAGAATACCGTAGCGATAAACGTTACAAGCCAGATAAACTGGAGATAATGAGAGAATAACAACAGTACTGAAAGCATTACTGGAATTTCCATTCAATTTTAGAAGAGGGAGACATTCAATAGCTATTATTTTTGAGCTATATTAGCAAATGTGAATTGGTGCAAAATTGCAGTTGGCCAGTGGTCCTGACTAACCTTGTCAAGTCATCCAAGAAGTTGAAAGCAATTGATTTATGTCAGGTGGACTATTGAGATGCTTTTTTAAAATAACCCTATAGACCATTGTTATTGTTCTATTATGTCTTAGCTATGGAATACCTAAATATGAAGAAAAAAGCACCATATTGCAAAACCTACAGCATAAAAAATAACATGGAATTAGAACCACTTCATCAAAGATTTTAAAACATCATGAGGCATCCTGGAACCTTCTCTGTAGGAGGCAGTAGAACAATGATGTGAAACAGTATATAGTAGGTGCTTTGAAAATACAAATTACTTCGTAGTGAGATTATTGCAACACCCTCTTCATGGGTTTTTTTTTCTATTGGATGCTATAATTGGTAGAACTGTTTCGCCAATTTGCCAATCAGAAGGACAGATCCAGCCATTGAACACCAATACTGCAGTGATCTCCAAGGCTGCTGATTTACAAAAGCCATTGGAAGTGCTTGTTATTAATGATAAAGCTCTATCCAGCTTGATTCTGGGTGTTTGCAGTGTGGTCTTGTGCATTCTTGTTGAAAAGACCATGTGAGGTGGGTGTTGTGGAAGCCTGAAAAAAAACTTTTTCAGATATTACCCCCTACTTTGGACTATCCTAATCGGAGTTCCTATCTTTTTTTTTAAAATGTTGCATTGTAATTTTTTTATTTGAATGTTGTGAGCTGCCCAGAATTGTTGAGAGTTGGGTAACATTCAAATTTAATATATCATCACCGTCATTATTATCTCACCTCCCAAAGTATGGAACATATCCAGTCTCCTTGCCTTTGGGAATCTATGTGTAACAGCCTCAAATCTATAGAAGTGGATGATCTACAATTTATGGGTTAGACAAAGTAATTACTAATAGTAATTATTAAGACATGAAGACTTTTATATCTGAATGCCCTATAATTATGACATGGTTTTAATCTTTCCACAGAGAAAAAAAGATGGCATATCTTGAAAACTAGTTCTAGCACATCATTTTTCTGAGTATGTTAAGATTTCTTTGTCCAAGGTCTACATTATCATCACAGGTAAATGGCCTCCCAAACTATAGAATAAAACTGTAGGTGCCACAGGGTTATTTCTCTTAGATATAGTGCAAGACACTATCAGTTGTAGCAATGTTGGGTGGTGGTGGTGGGGAGAAGTCAGTTTTTTGCTTGCTATTTTATTTCTTCATCTACTTGTTTCTATAATATTGTTGAAAATTAGCACAGTTTTACTGGAATTTTTTTCCCCAGGTGTCCCTTACATAATACTATCATTATTTGCTGTTTCTGAGTATGAGAACTGCATCGTATCCCTGCTGCATGCATAATCTAGATTAGCTCCTCATACAGAGCAGAATTTATGGCCATCCATCAGTCTTTTCTTGCCTTCGGATTCCTCTTGAAGTTTTCTCCTACTTACCAGGTCGGTAAAATTAGATCTCCAAAGTGCAGGAATATCTTTGAACTGTTTGAACATGCCTTTCAAGTTGACAATCACAATGGCAGCTAAGACAGCCTAAAAGAAAATGGCAAAGATGCTATTTAATAATACCTAGAGTAGGCAGTTTTAATTCAAATAATGAGTAAGAACAGAAGAAACTTCCCGTAAATACAGTATAAACCTTTTCTACAATGATGTAAATACCACAAAGAGATATGTTGATATTACCACTGTATTTGGAGAATGTTTCCTTCAATATCTACTGTATCTCAATTATATTTCAAAAAAGAACAGCCTAATTTTGGAACATACTTTGGGTAGTTCGTGGAAAAGTTCTCCAATCTTCAAAATGGTTGCCAGGATGATGAGGGAAGAGATGACGGAAGCCATCTGCAAAGTAGATAACAGTGAACAACTGAATACAAAGCAAGGCTGCACAAAGCAAGAAAATAACCCCAAATTTCACTTTCTTCCAGTTTCAACTTGTTATCAGGTTTTAAAGACATTAGATGGTAGCACTTGGATGGCTTTGGGCCCAAAACTAAGCAGGATCAGGCCTGGTTATTACATGGATGAGAGACCACACAAAGTTTTAGAACTGTGAAAAGAGAAAAAAAGAACCTGTGTAACGACTGATTGGTAAGTATGAAGCTGATAATGAGTATGAAGCTGATACTGAGCAAAACTCTGGAACAGATTATTAGACAGGTTGTGAGCATTCAGAAGACAATGTCTTGCTTGGCAGCACAGGTTTATCAAGAACAAGTCATGCCCATCCAGTATGATTTCCCTTTTTCATAGAGAGACCAGTTTAGGGGATTGCCATGGAACAGTGTACTTTGAAGTCAGTAAAAGTATTTGATTCTCATGAGATTCTGGTAAACTAGGCTGAACTATACCACTATTACATGAATATAGAGCCGGTTGAAAAATTGTAGTTTATAAATATACAGTATGTTCATGATTTTTTAAAAATCAAACTAGATACACAAAAGTGTCAAGTGGTGTACTGCAGACGCCATTTTAGGACCTGTGTTGTCCCATATATTTAAAAATGAGTTGTACAAAAAGATTTAAAAAGATTGTAAAATTTGCAGAAGATGCAAAGATAGGGAGAATAGCAAGCCCTTTAGGAGATGATGTGGGTGGATCTTGACAAGCTGGAACACAGGGCAGAAAGATGGTGTTGTGTCCTGGGCGTGATGAGGAAACTCAGCAGGCCCAGAATTGTTGCAAATGGTCCTGGGCATTCTAAAAGCTGCCCGGGACCAGACAGAGTGGCGCCAGCCTTGTGCGCATGCGCAAGGCACGAAGAAAGAAGAAGTCTTATTGGTTCATTCTGTCCGGGTTTCAAGCCCTATAAAAAGGCCTGCGTGCCTTTTGCTCTTTGCTTGGAGTTGGAGTAGGAGAATAAAGCATTGTTAGTTGTCACCATGCGTCTTCATCATTCGCACGCGAACGAAGGATTTAACACTGGCGACGAGGATGGGATCCTTTGTAAGCTGAAACAAAAGATTTAAGGACTTACCCTGGAAGTCCTGAAAAGGGGAAGACGGCATCTGAATCAGCATCCCAGCCTGCCAGTATAGTGTCGCTGGAGGGTGAGCTCAGCTAAAGGACCCTTTCCCCAAACAGCAGTTTGCAGAGGAAGTGAGTGGTGAACATCGTAACCTTTACGATGTCGAAGATTGGCCGCTTGACTGATTTCGATGTCTCCCACCCAGAGAGATGGAATTCCTAACTAGCACGGGTGGAGAATAACTTCAGAGTAAATCAGATTAGAGAAGACGGCCTGAAGGCAGCCACTCTTTTGTGTGCCTGTGGACAAGAAGCTTTTGACATCACAGAAAATCTTGTGGCCCCTGCACCTCTGGAGTCAGTAACATATGCTGACTTGAAGAAAATGTTGAAGGAACACTTCCAGCCAAAGTTATCCATCATTGCTTGGAGGCACGCGTTCGAGCAGAGACACCAGAGGCCGGGTGAATCTACTGCAGACTTTATTGCAGCCTTAAGGCAAGCAGTCAGACCTTGTGAGTTCAAGGATCTGGAAGAGAGGCTTCGAGATTGCTTTGTCTGCGGCTTAAGGAGCAGAGACTCACAACAAAAGATTTTTGCAAAAGAAGATGTTTCCTTCCAAGATGCATTGCGAGAGGTGGCAGCTGAGGAAGCAGCAGGCGGGGCTGTGAAGGCCTTGCACCTCGCCAGGAATCCTCCAGACACAGCTACCGTCCATCAAGAGGACGCTTGAGAAGGATCGGAAGAGGATCCTGAAGAAGAGGTAGACAGACTTCACCAGCCAGCTGAAAGGAGGCAGAAGGGACGTCCGGACAAGGACCCAGTATCTCTTCAATGCTTCGGGTGCGGAGGATGCCACAAGCGAGCTGACTGCAGGTTTTGCTCCGCCATTTGCAGGGTGTGTGGCAGACAAGGCCACATCACATCCGTCTGTTTGGGTCGCCAGAAGGTCCAACCTTGTGAAGAATTGCATCTGAAAGATACCAGGGTCCCCAGCCAACACAGGGTGGGTTTCTGCGCATCACACAGGAGCATTCTGAAAACAGGGACACACAAGCCCCTTAAGAAGAAACTTTCCATTAACATAAGGTTGCAATGGGTTCCCTTATCAATGGAGTTGGACACTGGGTCCGCTCTCTCAATTATTTCAATTAACACATTCAAAAGGATATGTAGCAGCAGTGGCCTTTGAGTTAAACTCAGGCCATCAAATCTAATACTCACTGATTTTCAAAATTCTATGGTGTGTGTTAAGGGAGGAGGCCACCCTTAAGGTACAGTATAAGGATTTTGAAGGTTCCCTAGATGTGGTGGTTTTTGGAGGTGAATGTACAAGTTTTATTGGACTTGATTCGTTCGAGGGTCTGGGAATCCAAGTAACTGGGCTGCACAGCTTGCAAACGCTGGGCCTTGCAGAGGTTTGCAAGGATTTGCAGATGTGTTTAGTTCAGAGCTAGGATCCTACAAGGGGCCCCCCATTGCGCTATAGTTAGACCCAACTATCACACCCATCAGGGTCAAGCCTAGGAGGGTACCTTTTGCCCTCAAAGGTAAAATAGATGCTGAGCTGGACAAATTGCTCCAGCAGGGCATTTTAGAACCTGTGGATTCTAGTCCATGGGAAACCCCCATAGTAACACCTTTAAAGGCTAATGGGGAAATATGTTTATGTGCAGACTACAAGTGTACACTGAAGAAGGCGTTGCAACAGCACGCTTATCCAGTCCCTGTTGTAAGCCACATCCTGGCCCCCCTCAAGGGGGGGGCGCATTTTTGTGAAACTTGACCTGGCACAGGCCTATCAACAGCTACCTGTTGATGAGGCAGCTGCAGACACCCAGACTATTGTAACTCACAGGGGGGCCTTCAAGGTCAAGAGAGTGCAATTTGGGGTCAATGTAGCCCCTGGCATATTCCAAAGTGTCATGGAGAGCACACATCGAGGTATTCCTGAGGTCTGTCCCTACTTCGATGATGTCCTCATTGCTGGGGAGTCATCTCAAAATTTAGCAGAAAGATTAAGGGCTGTCTTGCTTCGTTTTCGAAAAGCAGGCCTTAAGCTAAAGCAGGATAAATGCAAGATAGGAGTCACTTCCACTGACTTCTTAGGTTTCAGGATTGATGCCCAAGGCATTCACCCTGCTGAAGCTAAACTACAAGCTATTCAACAGGCCCCAAGCCCCAAGTCCAAAAGTGAGCTGCAAGCCTTCTTGGGGCTCTTAAACTTTTACCATGCATTTCTCCCACACAAAGCTGCAGTGGCAGAGCCATTACATAGGCTCTTAGACAAGCAGGCTCCTTGGCAGTGGACTAAAGGCCATGACAAGAGTTTCAATGAGGTTAAGGCCTTGCTCACTTCTAATGCTATTTTAGTGCATTTCAATGCGCAACTGCCTGTTTGCATCGCATGCGATACATCTCCTTATGGAGTGGGAGCAGTACTTAGCCATCTGAAGGCTGATGGGACACAAGTCCCTGTGGCCTATTATTCAATGACTCTGTCTGCAGAGTGGAATTACGCTCAGATTGACAGGGAAGCCTTGGCCCTAGTGGCTGCCATTAAGAAATTTCATGATTTCTTATATGGCCGCCAGTTCACGGTCTATACAGACCACAAGCCTCTGTTGGGTTTGTTTACTACTAACAAACAGACACCACATATCATTTTTCCTTGTATGCTGAGATGGTCCATTTTCCTGTCAGCATATGACTACACTCTAGTTCACAAACCTGGAAAACAAATGGGCCATGCAGATGGCTTAAGCAGATTGCCTTTAACTCAGGTAGAAGCAGAACCTGCTCCTGCCATCAATATTCTTTCCATTCAGGAGTTGCCTGAATCTCCCCTCAATGCTAGGGACGTGGCTGCAGAAACTGCCACTGATCACATGCTTACACGTGTGCTGACATGGGTGTTGTCAGGATGGCCTGACACGTGTCCAGATGCGACATTTCAAAGTTTTTGGCAAAGAAGACACGCACTGTCTACCTTTAATGGGTGCCTTTTATGGGGTAGCAGGGTAGTCATCCCAGCCTCATTGAGGTCTAGAGTCTTGATCTCTCTGCATGAGGGACATCCTGGGATAGTCAGGATGAAAGCGCTTGCACACAGTCATCTTTGGTGGCCTGGGCTTGATAAAGCTGTCGAGGCTCAGGTGCACAGGTGTCAAGTGTGCCAATAATCATGGCCTGAAATGCCTCAGGCCCCTGTCCACAAGTGGGAGGAGACACACACCCCTTGGTCAAGGTACATTTAGATTATGCTGGGCCCTTCCAGGGGCAATTCTTCCTTATCTTTGTTGATAGCCATTCCAAGTGGCTAGAGGTTGTTCCTGTTTCCTCCACTACTACTGCCAGGACTATCCAGGTGTTGAGAGGAATTTTTGCATCACATGGACTTCTAGATGTCCTGGTTTCAGATTATGGCCCTCAATTTACCTCTTCTGAGTTCCAGGCTTTTCTTCAGGCCAACCTGATCTGGCATGCAATGTCAGCTCCCTTGCAAGCTGAAAGGATGGTGCGTACCACCAAGGATGCACTCAAAAGACTAATGTTCGGTAGCTGGCATCACAGGTTAGCTGACTTTCTTCTTGCACACCGCACCACACCTTGCACTACCACTGGGAAGAGCCCAGCTGAACTCCTCTGGGGTCACAGACTCATTACTAAATTGGACAAGTTGCACCCAGACCAGGTGGCTTTACAGGTGTCGCAACCGCAGGCACCAAGGAGACTACAGTTTGGTGATCCGGTCTGGGCTAGGAACTATGCTCCTGGTCATCTGTGGGTTCCTGCTGTCATCTGTAAGAACTCTGGACCTCTCTCATACGAAGTGACCTTGGGAGATGGCCGCGTCCTGCGGCGTCACATCGATCAACTGCGCTGGTGGTTGTCCCCTGTGGATTCCGCCCCTGCCTCCGCTCTCGGGGGGGAGGGGGTACAGGAACCATGTCGCACTTCAGGTCAACCTTCTGAGACACAATCTCACTGTTCCTGGGACATACCGCAGGTCGCTAGGGATTTCCCAGGGGAGGTGAAAGGGCATCCTCAGAGTTCAGCTATTGCACCGAACAGGGAGTCATGCGTATCCACAAGAGCTCCAAACAGGAATTCACCTGAGGCGGGGTTTGCCATAGAGGCGGCCCCTGACTCTGGCACCTCGGCCACAGAGGACTGGGAGTATTGGGGCACACCTGCAATGCAGGTCACATCCGAGACTGGTTGTGGGCTCAAGAGACTAAGTTCCCTGGGGCCATCCAGGGAATTGGGGAATCCTCAGCCAATTCAGAGGGTTGGGGAATTTCAGCTGCTCTCACGGAGCCTGGGGAGAGCTCTGGCAATTCTGCCGGCACGCCTCACCAGGGGTCACCTGCAAAATTTGTGCATAAAAGTCCTGGTCTAGTGAGCTCAACAGACGGGCCGGTAGGCTAGGCGCCCTTAAGAACAAGTCCTGGTCTGCCTAGCTGGGCAGGTGAGCTGACAGACCAGGCACCCTCCCTAACCTTGCGTAGGTCACAACGGGCTAAGGCCCCTCCTAAGCATCTAGGCGAATATGTGAGGTTCTTGTCAGTACAAGGGACCTTACAGGTCTAGGTTGAGGAGATGGGACCTATGAGGGGTAGAAGATAGATACACAAAGTCCACATTAGAGAGTGGGTTGGTTAGCTAACTCTATTAGTTATAAAAAGGGTGTCTGCATGTGAGCAGACTATTATTTTATTTTATTATTATTGTAAAGAAATTTGGAATTGTGTGTGTTCTATCCAGGGGGGAGGGGTGTTGTGTCCTGGGCCTGATGAGGAAACTCAGAAGGCCCAGAATTGTTGCAAATGGTCCCGGGCATTCTAAAAGCTGACTGGGACCAGACAGAGTGGCGCCAGCCTTGTGCGCATGCGCAAGGCGCGAAGAAAGAAGAACTCTTATTGGTTCACTCTGTCTGGGTTTCAAGCCCTATAAAAAGGCCTACGTGCCTTTTGCTCTTTGCTTGGAGTTGGAGTAGGAAAATAAAGCATTGTTAGTTGTCACCATGTGTCTTCATCATTTGCACGCGAACCAAGGATTTAATAGATGGTTATCAGCATAGTTGATGATAAAGTCTTATATTTTGGTAGAAAATGTCTAAGGTATGAATATTGGATGTGGCAGTGCTACATGAGACGGGATCTGAATGTAACACAATGTGAACGTAAGCAAATAGTGTGATATAGCTGCAAACATACATATACACACATACCAATATTAGGCTGAAACAGTGAAATGTGAAAATGTAGAGGAATCAATCTTCTTGACTCTGTTTTGGATAGACTCAATGGTGGAATTCAGCCAGTTCGCACCACTTCAGCAGAATTGGTAGCTAATTTTTTTGTTGCCCAGGCCCAGAATGGACTTCCGGAAGCAGCATCCACACAGAGAACTGGTTGTTCTCATATTTGAATCCCACCACTGGGTAGACCATAAACTAGAATATCTTGGATGGAATATTGACATCTCCTCTGAGAATGTTGCATCCTGGTTACTGCATTTTAGGAGGTATATGGACAACTGAAGTGAGTCTAAAGGACAGCAACCATGATGATAAGGGTCTCAGAAGGAAGAACCTATGAGGAATGGTTGGAGGCAATGGGTGTGCTTAGTCTGGAGAAAAGGAGGCTGCAAGAGGAGCTCAAATATCAGAAGAGCTGTCATATAGAATACAGGGCAGAATTGTTCAGAGATGTTCCTTAAGACAAGAAAAGAAAGAATACATTTAAAAAGTGATTTTAGCTGGACATCAGGAAAAATTCCTAAGAGCGAGAGCTGTTCAGCACTGGAACAGACTGACTTGAGGGGCGGTAGACTCTCTTTTGCTAGGGATTTCAAAAGGAATGAGATGGCCAACCGAGGGGGATGCTGAAATAATTGATTCCTGCACTGGATAGGAGGTTGGACAAGATGATCTCCAAGATTTACTTTCTAAATCTCACAATTTGTGATACTACACCTGGAAAGTAAAAAGAAAAAAGGAAGTAAATGGAAAACTCCTTCCATATCGCTTTCAGAAAACTGCATATATTTATCCACAGTCAGTGGGTGTCTGTCTCAGTTCAAGACATATTTACTTTTATTATTTGCTTGGCCTTGCTCAGACTCCAATTGTCTGAGCAGTCTGGAGATAGAGGCAGTCATAGTGCCAAAAGATCTGTAGAAAACTGACCACTTTTGTGGTCATGGTGGATACTGGGGTTTTTTTTGAAAGCAGGAAAGCAAACAGCCCTCAATAAGTTATTTGTCTCATGCATTCAGAGGGAATATTGATAAAATAAAGATTTGAACTTCATATTAATTCCAGTAGCATATTCAAGGTTGCTTAATATTTGTGAGCAAATTCATGAGCCACTCGGAAAAACACTAAAAAAAATTACCCTAAATGTAAGTAGCTTATTATATTTCATAATATAAGTACAATTATCTTCTCGGGATAAACAAGCCCTCCCTCAGTCCACTGCAAGACTAATTGATGTGATTTCTAAAGCTAACTGCACCACTGCATTCATCAGAGTGAACTCATCTATCCCAGCATGCCTTTCAATTAGTTCCCACTGAGCTCTCTGCAGGTCTGTTCTGCTGTCCATCCATTTGATTGATTTCAATTTCTGCACAATTCCTTCCTCCTATCAGAAAAAGGCTACAGGCTTAACTGGCCTTTACCTGACTGTGTCCTCCTGCGCTTTCTTGTATTAGGGAGCGGGACATGGAGCAGCTGATGCTGTAGCAATGGAAAAAGCTACCCATGACGTTACTGAGTCCCAAGGCTATCAGTTCCTGCAAGAGAGTTAAGAAGAAGTCAATGTGTGTTTCTTTATTTGGAGAGGGGGAAAAAAGTTTGGAAGAGGCTTTGGGATGGCTGTATGCCCATCCCTCGACTCAGAAGTACAGCGCAGGTAGTTCTCGACTTAGGACTTTAATGGAGCCTGCCCATTACTGCCGTAAATCACAATAGTTATAACATGGGTCACCCGGGTGACTAATCTGATTTTACAATAGTTTTTGTGGCAGTTGTTAAGTAAACTGCAGTCGTAAAGCAGTTTGCTGCAGTTGTTTAAGCAAGCACCACAATTGTTAAGTGAATCAATGATTTGTTATGGAGCAGTTTGGGCGAAAACTGGACTGTAAATGCCAGGTTTTGACAGGATGATGCAAATAACCATAAATTCAGACCAGTTGCTGAGTGCCTGATCTGCAGTCATGGTACTGCAGGTGTGTGTGTGTGTGTGTGTGTGTGTGTGTGCGTGTGCGTGTGTGTGCGCGTATGTGAGTCATTGAAATTTCAGAGCTGGGTTGTTGCTATTCCTTGGAGTGACCTTCATAACTTTGAACCATTGCTAAGCAACTGGTTGTAAATTGAGGACTACCTGTAACAGGAATAGATAGATAGTGGACAAGACAATCAAGAAAGAAAATAAAATCAAGGCAAAGAGGGAGGGGGAAAAAAGCCAGGAAGCCAAGATAATGAAAGCATAACAAATGTCTTACCTGGCTGCTGTCCACACTATAACCGTACTTGAGGGCAAAGATTTTCCCAAGGGAGATGCAAAGGACATAGCTAACAATAGCAATGGCAAAAGCATTCCCTATCACCTGCCCAAACCAGCTTCCATTGGGGGCTTCAGGAGATCTCAATCTACAGTAAGGAAACATAGATGCCACAAGGCAATACTGATGTACAGGTAGCACAAGGCAAAACGAGAGAGGAACACGTGATTTCCCAGGCTGGGAAATTAAGACAAAAAAAGATAACCTTTATTGTCATTTTTTTTCTGTGAGCACACTGGATCACATTAAAAATAGAATTCTGTTGCCTGTTCTCAAAAGGAAGTATATATCTACCCATACATACATATAACACATATATACACAATATATATAGCTTATATGCTATGTTCTGGGTATTCAGCAAACAGGAAGGGAACCTCCATTTTGTGCAGCCCAAATGAAATCAATTAATCTGACATATTATGGCTCTGAGACCAGTGGATTTGGGGAAGCAGCATGAAACACTTACCCCTTAGGAATATCACCCACAACACTAACCCCAAATTTGTTGTTCAGGCTGGCACCATAGCAGATTGCCGTGGAGACAATAATCTGAAAAAAAGAAGGCGGGGAGGCAAAATTTTCTTTTGTAATTTAATGATACTCAGGAATGGCACAGATGAAGGAATTTAATAGGTTGCAATGTCTCTAATGGGATGGCCTCCTTCTTATCTGTTGGGCCAGAATTTCCCAAATGTCAGCTAGTATAAAGATCTCTAAAGACCACTAGATTGGGGAAGGTTGATCTAGGTGTTCCTCAGATGCATAATAAGAGCGGAGGAGACTCAGCCATTGCAGCACTCTAGCCCTTTTCTTTTTGATTTCAGAAATGGGACTCTGAAAATGCAGCACCAATGGCTGCTGACCACAGAGGCATTGCAGTTGTGGGAAGAATCCAGAGAAAGAAATATTTTAGGAAATATTAAAAAGGCAGAATATATTTCCCCAAAGGATCTTAAAAGCAGAATATATTTCCCCAAAGGATCTTAAAAGCAGAAACATCCCTCCCCCAAGACTCTCTGCCCCAAACAGAAACCAAGTCTGCAGAAATGCAGATGTGATAATCTTGACAGAAAGATTGGAGCCAGGAAGCTTGGATTAGAAAGACAAAGATCCCTAGAATCAACAATCCCTCACACGAAAAAAATCCAACAATCATCAGCCACAGCCCCAGGGAAGCAGGATATGACCTTTGGGACATAATAGGATTAACCCACCATCATCAGAATACCAGAAAGGAACACTCAGACTCAAGTCAAAGTTCATGCCACAGGAACAACTCCAAACAAAAACTCAAGAAGGTATAAAAACCCACCACTTCCTACTACATGTGGTCAGCTTTCCCAGAGCCATCTTTCTGTCTGGCTCTCCTCTTCAATAAACTGCAACCTTCTTTCTAAAGCAGTCTCCATTTTGCTTATTCTCAGCTTGGATTGGACTCTATTGAAGAATTTTCTTTCAATACAGTGATCTTTCAGTTTACAAAATCTGTCAGCTTAGTTTTTCATTTCGTTTTGTTTTAATCTTGAGTTCTTTTAAAAAGAGTATATAAACTGGTAAATTGTTGTCATGAAAAAAACCCAAATATAATTCTATTTTATTACAATAATAATAACAAATAAAACATCATTGTCACTAACCAATTCATCACCAGTCAATTGCAAAAGGCAGTTTTACTCAGAATACTTTATAAGCTGCGATGATATCTGTAACACCATCAAACATCAACATCTGCCTATCCCACATCCTTGGGAAGGACTCGATAGGTGGACAAAATTACCAAATCCAATCTGAACATCTGGCTGATGATGTGATGAACCATAACAACAATAAAGCAGCAGTATATATAATTTAATAAAAAGTTCATAAGAAAAAGCCATTATGTAACTTAAATCTCACAGAGATTTTTTTAACAGAGGAAATTACCTAAACTAAATAACATTATCCATTAATTAACTGTCAGTCTCTTATTTTTAGCAGCAGACGGTTCAGCAAGATGGCAGCTCACCAAAACCCTTGATCTTTTGATTAAAATCAAGCACAGCTGAATGCTCAGGAATTGAGACCCAGGTTTTCAGAACAAGCTCTCTAAAATCTTTGTTCCCAACTCTTTCAATTTCTCCTGTGTTTGTTTCTTTAAAAAATAAAATCTTCTTTCAATGAAGAGAGTTTATTTCTTCCTAGGAAACAGAATAAAATTCGTATTCCTCTCTGCCACAAAGTAATAGAAGGGATGGAGCTAATTCTAATTCCTTCCTAGAATTGCTTGGAAACAAATTCCTTCCAATGATTGCTCTCTCTTTTTTTTAACTCCAACTAAAAAACCATCCCAGCCATTAACATTTTTCCCAAAGAGAATCTTGAAATCAGGAGGGCTTCTGGATGCTGGCATGGAAATTCATATCTAGAGCAGACATGTGTAAAGTGAGAACCAGGTCCACTTGTGGCTACCGAAAGACTTAACATCATTTTTCAACTGTACTTTTATGTGGCAGTAGGGGATAATTATTAAACACACGGCTAAAGAGTAAAATATTTTCATTCTTCCACTATTGAATATATGTCAATATAGGGCAGTGATGGCGAATCTTTTAGAGACCGAGTGCCCAAACTGCAACCTAACACCCACTTATGCATCTTCGGGTGCCAGGTGGGTGTGGCTCATTGGGTGGGTGTGGCCCATTGGGTGGGCGTGGCTGGGGTGGTAACAGCAGACTGGGTGCGACTAAAAAGTTAAATCAATCAATTCCAATTTTGCAAGATCATTTTTTTTCCCATGAGAAGTTGAAATTGACTGATTGAACCTTTTTTTTTTTTTTTGCACATTGTGGCGGAGGCCTAAAGTGAAAAGGTTTTATCAAAGCCAGCTGAAGGCCTAGGACTGGGGCGACGGCGCACGTGCCCACAGAGAGGGCTCTGAGTGCCGCCTCTGGCACCTGTCATGTTGCACTTGTGAAATGGGTAGCTGTGTAAATCACATTAGACATAACTTTTTAGGCTGGTGGCAGCCAAACTATGGTGCATTTTTCTTACAAAGGATGCTAACATTCACCTTCCGCTGAGTATAATGCCAATAATTTTATTTCTTTCAAGTTTTTGTCTTGTTTTAATAATTAGATTTTTGTGGGGTATTTTGGGGATAATATGCTAGTTTGTTTTTTTCTTGTAATTTTAACAGATTTAAAAGATTATGTCATGACTTCTGCACTACTGGTTATATTGTTGTTCCACTGTCATTTTAGGGGAAAAAAACAAGCCAATATTCTTGGAGCATCATCCAATAAGTTACCGTGAGGAGTTCAGTGGGGATAGGTACTGGAAGCTTCTTATCCAATTTGTCATTGAGTAGCTTAATGAGCAAAAGGGCAACCATGGAGATCAAGGCAGTCATCAAAGTACCAATATGAGTTCCAGGTAATTTTGAGCAAATCTCCACAAAAGTCTGTGGGAAAATAACAAGATAGAGGAAGTTATAATTTGAAGACACAAGAATACTGATGAAAACACAACGTCTGGGTGTTCTACCTGTGCTTACATAGATCAGTGACAACGGTCCAGATTTCTCTTCCAGGCTGATGGCAAAGACGTATTTTAGCTGGGAAACCAGCACATGGACAGCAGCAGCTGTGGTGTAGCCTCGCACCAAGGGCTCCGAAAGATAGGTGGCCACAAATCCAAACTGCAGCAGGCCAAGGGCAACCTAAAAATAGATCATTGGTGAAGTTACACCTGCTGAACCAAAACTCTCCCAGGATTGTCTAGTGCATTTTTCTTAAGTCATCATTAGCCCAGAGAGCTAATGACCTGAAAGCAGAACAAATGCTTAACTATTGCTAAGCAGGAAAGCCCAACTTTCAATAATTTGGAAGCCATTGTGCTCCCTGGGATCAAGCTATTTTTAAAATTCAGTTACAGACTGTTTATTTAGTGGAAAGTACCTACCCAGTCACTCACAATGGGCAATCAGCAGCCCTTAGAACACACACTTATTAACTATGCAGGAGATGGCATTTTTCACTTTTTACTATTCTCTGCATATGCACCCTAATGTTCATTCTTCTCTTTTATTCCTATTGACTTCCTCATTTTTTGTTAATTTGCTCTGCAAATAGCTGCCTTCCAACATATCCACACCACTGTCCACATTAACTACAGCTACCTCATCCTGCCTAATAACAGTAAGACCAACACTTTCAGCCTTGGAACTAAAGCAAATTCAATATTTCTTACTTTCAGATTTTAGATATTGATTCAGCTTACACAACCAGGTTTTTACTGCATGTTTTATCTCCCTCTTACCTGGAACAGACCCATTAAGCAGGTGACTGCAGCTACCAGCTCAACTCGGGCTGCATCCCTCCGGGCCTCATTGACAAATGTTTTATTGGTGCCAATGATCACTTCCAGATATTTTCCATTTGGTTCTAGTGACTCTGTCATACTTCCCAACATCCCAGAAATGACAGCAAATGGACCTGTGGGAAGACATCCAAGGTTTGAGAGAACCTTTTTAATCTCTTCTTCTGATTCAAAGATTTTGGAAAGGATGTCCATTTTCCTAGACCATGTTAATAACCATAATATGATACAACAGGCATATATCCATTGGGCGAATAAATAAATCTGTGCTGCAAAATGTGTTAATAGAGATGTGGTATTCAGTGTTATGTTTAGGTACTGCCAAATTAAGGGGGGGGGGAAACAAAGCACTTTGAAGGTCCTGCTGCTTCATCTTCCTTCTGTGCTATCATTTGTTTCAACCTCCCCTCCCTCCCTTCTTCTTCCTGCTGTTGCTGGCTCTCCTCACTTTCCCTCTACTGCTCTTCTCCTTGAAAAGCTTTTTCTGCTAACTTGGAAAAAGTACTGTGTCAGCCAATTGGAAAATGCATCACATTTAAAAAATGGAGTCTAAAAAGGATGTCTCTGCAGTTACGGTTTCCAGTTGTTTAAATAAGTGCTTTCTTTGATAGTCTTTCCACAAGTCTTTTGGGGGCTTCCCAAAATTATGAATTCTAGTTCTATGATTTGTCACTGGTGGTGCCATTGGTGTTCTGCCTCTAGTAAATGTGATCCCATCAGGCATGTAAATTAGTATTCTCTGCTTACCAACAGAGATGTGTCTGGATGTCCCAAATAAGAAATACAGCAGAACTGGATAGAAGGACGAATACAAACCATGGACTGGAGGCAGCCCTGCTAGGAGTGCATATGCCAAACCTTGGAGAAATAGAAGTGGAAGTTACCACACATGTCATTAACACTTCGTTTCTATTTCATTTATTCTAGTTTTATTCACCCATCAAGCACTTGTGTGGGAAACATTTATGGCCTCCTCCTGTAATTTTCCACCAACTTGCTAATGTGTCTCAAATACTTTGGACAAGACTAGGCAATGCTGCCTTTCCAGATGTTTGAACCACAATTCTCATAAGCCCCAGATCAACACGCCTTACATCTGCATTAAATACATTTTTTGTCAAGGATTTTTCCCTTAAGCAACTCAGTTCCATTCTTTCAAAGCATAATGACGCAAAAACCAAGACAGATTTTCAGTAGGTTTTCCTACAGCGGAAGTGGACATTCTCCCAGGATAATGAGGTACAATTTGATTCTATAACCACCTGGGAAGCTACAGGTGCCCTTACCAGAAGAATAAGGAAGGTTGGGACTTCTAGGTTTATCAGATTCCTAGATCTGATGTGGTTGATTGTAGAAATGAGAACAGAAAGCATCTGGAAAGCAGATTGCTGTCATTTTCATCCTTAAAAAGCCTCTTCCAAATGGCCCAAATCTCAATGTGGAAATTTAGAAGTAATTCAGGTTTTGATAGTAACCATTTAAGTCACTGTGGAGAGAAAGCAAGAGGGCATGATGTGCGAAGGTTTGTGTCCAGAGGCTTCCTACGATTTCTATAAAAACCAAGCTAAGTTCATCCTGCTGAAGTCAATCATATAGTTATTGAATTTTGACAGTGAAATTCGGCAGGGCCAGGCTACAGCTTTCCAACTTCTTTTCTGTGCCTATTTCTACTTAGCATTCATTGATTACTATAGCTTTAGCATCAAAAATTATTTGGGAAAGTCCAGTCCAGGGGAAGAGAATTCATCAGTCAGAGAATTCCAACTGGCAGGATCAAGGAAGAGGGCTTTCTCTGCCACCGCCCCTTCTTTGTGGGACAGCTGGCCACCAAAGGCAAGGAAAGCCCCCAATTTTCTAACCTTTTGCAAAGGGGTCAAAACCTGGCTGTGCAGCCTTGCGTGGGGGACCACACAGCCTTGAGACACTCCCCCCCACTCACCTGTAGTAACAAATGCTAAGCCCCCATCTTGGAATTTTGTAATTTTATAATGGTATTTGTATACTTCTAAACTTTTTAATCTTAAATTATTCTGATCTGAATGTTAATGTTATTGATTATATTGTGCACTGCCCAGAACCTCTCTCTGATAAATAAATAAGCAAAAAGGGGGCAAGTGGTATTTTGAAAAGCAGATGGCAATGACACAGCAAGATTACTTATACAACTCTTGTTCTCTTCTCAAATGTGTGCAGGGCCAATAATTGGTCAGAGGATATTTTACTTTCTCCCAGGACTCACAAGAAGATCTCAGATAACATACCCTGTGGGAGATGCATAATTCCCACACTGAATCCTGACGTGATGTCCCCTAGTAACCATTCTTTGACTGGGTAGCGTGGCAACCAGCTAAGGATGGGCAGGAACCGAAATAGCAAGCTCTTTGCGGTTGATCCTGAGCATCTGGAAAAGAGGTGGACAAAGGCAAGAGGAAAGCAGACTCTTGAACTTACACGGACCTTGAGGGACGTGGAGCAATGAAAGAACTGGGAATCTGTTCATATCATGAGGTAAACTTCTGCATCACTCCCAGGATCTATCATAGATGTACACTCAAGAAGAAAAAACACAATGGCTGTGCCACATTATGCTGCAGTAAAAAGATCAAATTCCAGAGTTGCAAATATTGAAATTCTGGACATTTTGATGGCTAAAAGCAGAGGTGGAGCCGCTCCACCTACTGCTAACTAGTTGTGTGCAACAAATGGCCACAACCTTTCTGCCCCCTTTTTTATTATTTATTAAAAGTGCAACAGAGCATGCAGCTGTTAGGCAAGGTTTTGCTCCAGTGTTTGGCAAAAAATAGTTAGCTACAATACCAAAAATCACATTAAAATGTGGAGAGGGGGGAGGAAAGGAACCGAGCAGTGCTAGTTTTCAGGTGCTGGCCCATATAGACACTTCCACCATTGGCAGCTTCATCTCTTCACATAAAATCCAACATACTTTTCCAGACCTTTTAGGCAGCAATGAGAAGCAATGAAATATCACCAATAAAATGTAAAGAAGTACATGAAGAAAGTCAAGAAATGTCTACCTCAAGTCCTTTCAAGGCTACTTTCTTTTGTGGAATACCGGAAGGTTCCTTTGAGAGAGACACAAAACTGCAGTGATGGTTGAGGCAAAACAGGCCAAAATATCTTATTTAATGTAGAGGGAGAAAGCAGTTACTACATACCCTTAATTTACTGATTAATATGAGTTGGATATGGGGACAAGGGAACCATGTTATCTAATTTAGACGGATGGGGGGGGGAAGCTTTCGAATCTGGCTATAACTGCAAAAAAGAAGTTTGAAGTTGCTTCTTTAAGTAGTTTTTTTCTTTCTATTGTTTTAAAACAACTTTTTCTTTTTCTTTCTTTTTTCTACAGTATATTGTTTCTGTTGTGTCCTGAGCCTGCAAAAGCAGGCTCGGGACATTGCATTGGTCCTGGGCATTCCAAAAGCTGTCCAGGACCAGACAGAGCGGCGCCAGCCTTGTGTGCATGCGCAAGGCGCAAAAACGCTCTGTTCCTATTGGTTGACACTGTCTGGGCTTCTGGCCATATAAAAAGGCCTGCGTGCCTTTTGCGTTTGCTTGGTTGTTTTTAGAGGGAGAATAAAGTATTTGTTCATCATTGCCATGTGTCTTCATCATTCGCATGCGAACGAAGTATACAACACTGGCGACGAAGGTGGGATCCTTTGCAAGCTGAAACAAAAGATTTAAAGACTTACCCAGGAAGTCCTGAAGAGGGGAAGACGGCGTCTAAATCAGCCTCCCAGCCTGCCAGTACAGCATTGCTGGAGGGTGAGCTCGGCTAAAGGACCCTTTCCCCAAACAGCAGCTTGCACAGGAAGCGATTGGTGAAAATCGCAAAGTTTATGATATCTAAGATTAGCCGCTTGTCTGATTTCGATGTCTCACACCCAGAGAGATGGAATTCCTACGTAGCACGGGTGGAGAACTACTTCAGAGCAAATCAGATAAGAGAAGGTGGCCTGAAGGCAGCAACTCTTTTGTGTGCTTGTGGACAAGAAGCTTTTGACGTCGCAGAGAATCTGGTGGCCCCTGCACCTCTGGAGTCAGTAACATATACTGACTTGAAGAAAATGTTGAAGGAACACTTCCAGCCAAAGTTATCTGTCATTGCTTGGAGACACGCATTCGAGCAGAGAGACCAGAGGCTGGGTGAATCTGCTGCGGACTTTATTGCGGCCTTAAGGCAAGCAGCCAAGCCTTGTGAGTTCAAGGATCTGGAAGAGAGGCTGAGAGATCGCTTTGTATGCAGTTTGAGGAGTAGAGACTTACAACAGAAGATTTTTGCAAGAGAAGATGTTTTCCTCCAAGATGCGCTATGAGAGGTGGCAGCTGAGGAAGCAGCAGGCGGGGCTGTGAAGGCCTTACGGCTCACCAGGAACCCTCCAGACACAGCTACCATCCATCAAGAGGACACTCGAGAAGGATCGGAAGCGGATCCTGAAGAGGAGGTGGACAGACTTCATCAGCCAGCTGAAAGGAGGCAGAAGGGACATCCAGACAAGGCCCCAGCATCTCTTCAATGCTTCGGATGCAGAGGACACCACAAGCAAGCTGACTGCAGGTTCCGCTTCACCATTTGCAGGGCGTGTGGCAGACAAGGCCACATCGCATCCGTCTGTTTGGGTCACCAGAAGGTACAACAGCGAGAAGAATTGCGTCTGAAAGGTACCAGGGTCTCCAACCAACATAGGGTGGGTTTCTGTGCATCACGCAGGAGTATTCTGAGGACAGGGAGACACAAGCCCCTTAAGAAGAAACTTTCCATTAACGTAAGGTTGCAAGGGGTTCCCTTATCAATGGAGTTGGACACTGGGTCCGCTCTCTCAATTATTTCAATTAACACATTCAAAAGGATATGTAGCAGCAGTGGCCGAGTTAAACTCAGGCCATCAAATTTAATATTCACTGATTTTCAGAATTCTGTGGTGTGTGTTAAGGGGGAGGCCACCCTTAGAGTACAGCATAAGGATTTTGAAGGTCCCCTAGATGTGGTGGTAGTTGTGGGTGAACGTACGAGTCTTATTGGACTCGATTGGTTCGAGGCTTTGGGAATCCAGGTAACTGGCTGCACCATTTGCAAACATTGAGCCTTGCAGAAGTCTGCAAGGAGTTTGCAGATGTGTTTAGTTCAGAGCTAGGATCCTACAAGGGGCCCCCCACTGCGCTATGGTTAGACCCAACTATCACACCCATCAGGGTCAAGTCTAGGAGGGTACCTTTTGCCCTCAAAGGTAAAATAGATGCTGAGCTGGACAAATTGCTCCAGCAAGGCATTTTAGAACCTGTGGATTCTAGTCCATGGGAAACCCCCATAGTAACACCTAAAGGCTAATGGGGAAATGAGTATATGTGCAGACTACAAGTGTACACTGAATAAGGCGTTGCAACAGCATGCTTATCCAGTCCCTGTTGTAAGCCACATCCTGGCCTCCCTCAAGGGAGGGCGCATTTTTGCGAAGCTGGACCTGGCACAGGCTTATCAACAGCTACCTGTTGATGAGGCATCTGCAGAGGCCCAGACGATTGTAACTCACAGAGGAGACTTCAAGGTCAAAAGACTGCAATTTGGGGTGAATATTCCAAAGTGTCATGGAGAGCACACTTCGAGGTATTCCTGGGGTCTGTCCCTACTTTGATGACGTCCTCATCGCTGGGGAGTCATCTCAAAGTTTAGCAGAAAGGTTAAGGGCTGTCTTGATTCGTTTTCGAAAAGCAGGCCTTAAGCTGAAGCAGGATAAATGCAAGATAGGATTCACTTCCACTGACTTCTTAGGTTTCAGGATTGATGCCCAAGGCATTCACCCTGCTGAAGCTAAACTACAAGCTATTCAACAGGCCCCAAGCCCCAAGTCCAAGAGTGAGCTGCAAGCCTTCTTGGGGCTCTTAAATTTTTTACCATGCATTTCTTCCACATAAGGCTGCAGAGCCATTACATAGGCTCTTAGACAAGCAGGCTCCATGGCAGTGGACTAAAGTCCATGACAGGAGTTTCAATGAGGTTAAGGCCTTGCTCACTTCAAATGCTGTTTTAGCACATTTCAATGAGCAATTGCCTGTATGCATCGCATGCGATGCATCTCCTTATGGGGTGGGAGCTGTACTTAGCCATCTGAAGGCTGATGGGACACAAGTCCCTGTGCCCTATTACTCAAGGACTCTGTCATCTGCAGAGCGGAATTACGCTCAGATTGACAGAGAAGCCTTGGCCATAGTGGCTGGCATAAAGAAATTCCATGATTTCTTATATGGCCGCCACTTCACGGTCTATACAGACCATAAGCCTCTGCTGGGTTTGTTTACCACCAAGAAACAGACACTGCAGATCATTTCTCCTCGTATGCTGAGATGGTCCATTTTCCTGTCAGCATATGACTACACTCTAGTTCACAAACATGGAAAAGAAATGGGCCATGCAGATGGCCTAAACAGATTACCTTTAAAACAGGTAGAAGCAGACCCTGCTCCTGCCATCAATATTCTCTCCATTCAGGAGTTGCCTGAATCTCCCCTCAATGCTAGGGACGTGGCTGCAGAAACTGCCACTGATCACACGCTTACACACGTGCTGACATGGGTGTTATCAGGATGGCCTGACAAGTGCCCAGATACTGAGTTCCAAAGCTTCTGGCACAAAAAGCATGAGTTTTCCACTTTCAAGGGTTGCCTGTTATGGGGTAGCAGGGTAGTTATCCCAGCCTCATTGAGGTCTAGAATCTTGATGTCTCTGCATGAGGGACATTCTGGAATTGTCAGGATGAAAGCGCTTGCGCACAGCCATCTTTGATGGGCTGGGCTTGATAAAGCTCTCGAGGCTCAGGTGCACAGGTGCCAGCTGTGCCAACAGTCACGGCTTGAAATGCTTCAGGCCCCAGTACATAGGTGGGAGGAAACTCAAACCCCATGGTCTAGGGTGCATATAAATTACGCTGGGCCCTTTCAGGGGCAATTCTTCCTGGTTGTTGTTGATAGCCATTCCAAGTGGCTAGAGGTTGTTCCTGTTTCCTCCACTACTACTGCCAGGACCATCCAGGTGTTGAGAGGAATTTTTGCATCACACGGACTTCAAGATGTCCTGGTTTCTGATAATGGCTCTCAATTTACATCTTTTGAGTTCCAGGCTTTCCTTCAGGCCAACCTGATCCGGCAGGCAACGTTGGCTCCCTTCCATCCATCTTCCAATGGCTTGGCAGAGAGAATGATGCACACCACCAAAGATGCTCTCAAGAAATTGACTTACGGTAACAGGCATCACAGGTTAGCAGATTTCCTTCTTGCACACCACACCACACCATGCACAGCCACAGGGAAGAGCCCTGCTGAACTCTGCTGGGGTCGCCGCCTCATCACTAAACTGGACAGGCTGCACCCTGACCGAATGGATTCACAGGTGTCCCAACCGCAGGCACCTAGGAGACTCCCGGTGGGCGATCTGGTTTGGGCAAGAAACTATGGGCCTGGACATCTCTGGGTCATAGCTGTGGTCTGCAAAGTCTCTTGGCCGTTGTTATACGAAGTTGCCTTGGGTGACGGCCCATTTTTCGCAGACACATAGACCAACTGTGTTGGAGACTGGACTGCCACCCTTCTCTCCTGGCTCTGCTCTGTGGGGGGAGGAGGACCATAATATGCATTCTGAGTCACAGGTTCCCAGGCCTAACAGGCCCTCACTAGCTGCTGCTGAGGCTGTTTGGGATTCATCTCAAGGTTCCACAAGTGCTCCAAAGAGGAATTCACTGGATAGGGGGTCATCCCACACATCCACAATTATTCCAGACAGGGAGTCACACTGGGGGTATCCACAATACTCAAATATGACAGATAGTGCTTCAGACAGGGTGACTGACCGGGGGTATCCACATAAATCACAAACAGCAAGAGAAAAGGAATTCCATCAAGGGCGCTTGCATAATTCATCAATTGCTCCCAAGAGGAAGTCACCAGTAAAGGGGGTTGCCATGGAGGCGGCTCCTGACTCTGGCACCTCTGGCATGTGCTTAGGGACTACTGGGGCACTTCCGCTACCCAGACCTCTCCATATGCTGGCCTTGGGATTGAGGGACAGTGTTCCCAAGAGGGGTCCATTGTGGACTCGGGGACTTCCACCCCTCCAAGGTATTCTGGGTTGGACTCAGAGAGTCCAGCCAGTCAGCAGCTGGGTGGGTCAACCGGGTACTTGGGGCAGCAAAGTCCTGGCCTACCTAGCCTGGTAGGTGAGCAGGTAGGCTAGGCACCCTCACCAGGGTCACCTGGATATTTAGGGCAGCAACATCCTGACCTGCCTAGCCTGTTAGGCGAGCAGGTGGCCAGGCAATCTCTCTGGGCCTTAGAAGGTCGCAGCGGGCCAAGTGCCCACCCAAACATCTGAGAGACTTTGTGAGGTTGCTGTCAAATCCTGAGGGACCTTCTTATGAGGCCCTAAATGAAGGGAGTAATTCGGGGTTAGATTATTTTGCATTATTTTGATTTCGGATACATTTATTTGTGTTAATAAAGATTGAAGGGGTGCCTGTGCGCAGACTCGTGTATTTCACATTTTTTGCATTTGAATAATGCAACTGTATTTGGCCTTTCCCAGTGCACGATGTACCTGTGTATATGCAAAGTATGTTCCATCTAGGGGGGAGGGTGTTGTGTCCTGAGCCTGCAAAAGCAGGCTCAGGACGTTGTATTGGTCCCGGGCATTCCAAAAGCTGCCCGGGACCAGACAGAGTGGCGCCAGCCTTGTGCGCATGCGCAAGGCGAGAAAATGCTCTGTTCCTATTGGTTGACACTGTCCGGGCTTCTGGCCATATAAAAAGGTCTGCGTGCCTTTTGCATTTGCTTGGTTGTTGTAGAGAGAGAATAAAGTGTTTGTTCATCATCACCATGTGTCTTCATCATTTGTACGCGAACGAAATATTTAACAGTTTCAGATTTATTTTTTAACTTTGTAAAACAAATTGTATATTGTTTTACATATATACAATTGTATATATTTGTGGGTGCATATACATACATACACACACACACACACGCATATGCATGTATATATAATGTATGAGAAAAATCTGACAAGTTTGAATGTTTGCAGGCAGAAGAAGCCTTGCAAGACAGCACTAAACATCTTCTATAGATCCAAAATCCCATCTCACTTCCTCTTATATACAAGCTCTCTAAATATTTGGATGTGCCATGCGATTCTTTTTCTGAGGCACACTCTCTAGGGAGGACAGCCTGGAGCCTAATGTTGCAGCATGAAATACCATATTGGAATTTTCTGTTCTCAATCAGTCAACAATACCCTCTTCCATGATACTTACACTTCTCTCTCAATTCAGTTTTTTGTTTTCTCTACTCCATGGTCAAGCCACGTATTACAGAAATAGTTTCTGTTTGTATGAACTGCAAGGTTTCCCCAAATTAGGGAGGTCTTGAGAATTGGTGGGATTTTTTGGATCATCTAAGTCAGGGGTAGGCAACCTTGGCTCTTTTATGACTCGTGGACTTCAACTCCCAGAATTCCTGGTTGCCTATCCCTGACCTATGTAATAGCACAAACATCTAAACATAAAAGAGAGACCAAAGAGTTTCATGAAGGAGAAACCATTTATATGCTGTAGCATTGGCATATTGTTCTTTTGTTCACTCAGAGTTGAGGGCAACGTGTCTTCTTAGTCCTGAGGGTGGAAATACAGGTAGTCCTTCACTTACCACTATAAATGAGCCCAACATTTCTGTGGCTAAGCAAAACACTTGTTAAGTGAATTTGCCCTATTTGCCACCCTTACTGTCACAGTTGTTAAATGAATCACTGCAGTTGTTAAGTTAGTAACACAGTTGTTAAGTGAATCTGGCTTCCCCATTGACTTGGCTTATCAGAGGGTCGCAAAAGCACATGACTCCAGGATACTGCAGCCGTCATAAATATGAGTCAGTTGCCAAGCGTCCAAATTTTTATGACATGACTACAATGGTCATAAGTGTGAAAAACAGTCATAAGTCACTTTTCTCAGTGCCTTTGTAACTTTGAACAGTCACTACATGAACTGTGGTAAATCGAGGACCGTCTGCATTCTGTCATCATTTCCTTCCAAGCATCTGTCATTCGGAAGCAACAGCTTACTTTCCCCATGTTTCCCAAGGCCTTTTCTCATTCATCTTTTCCTAATCTAAAACATGCTCCCTGATTCTTCGTGCCGCTAGTAAGGATTAGCAATACTTTACCTTATTTTCTTGATCTTGGTGGAAAGTGACCCTCGTGGAATCTGTTTTCTCAGGCCGATCTTCTCCAGCTCAGATTCACTCAGTGTTTCACCTGCACTTTCTGCCCTGGAGTGACCTGGCTCTCCATTTGCCTCCATGACCGCCACAGTGATCCCACCTGCTTTGTGATTCAGACTTGGGGCTAGGAAGAGAAGAAGAAGCGCCATCGATGCTAATGTTCCAGAGGTGAAACGACTAAGGTCTGGTTGGCCCCCAACTCTGTGGGTTCTCAGAAAGCCCTAAAAACTTGGAAGTTGAAAGTTTGTGGAGGCTGTGAGATGGACATTAATTCAATGATGACTGGAATTGCTTACTGTAGCCATGTATGTTTGTGTGTGCTTACAGAGCCGCATGTTTTAACAAAGCCGTGTGTTTTTAACACAGAATAAAAATGTGATTTTTTAAAACAAAATTGGATACTTTTTGTTCTGAGTTCTTAAATTTTATCTTAGACAACCAGAGTTTGCATTACAATATAAATTAATCAAATGAATAAAATGCATAATAAAAATGTTCTGCCAATTAAAAAAAAAATTCAACCAGGGTCCTTGAGTTCTATCTTGCATTTTTTAAATAAAGGGCTCATTAAAAAAATAGAGCCCAACGTTTTAAAATTCTAAGGTATGTTTTAAAGCCACTGGTAGATATCCAAGTAGTTATCTAAATGAAATGGTTTCTGAGGAGAAAGGTTTTTAAAAAGAAAGAAGACAGAGGGCTAACTTGCAGCTTGGCCCATTGCCAGTAGAAACCAGTTATATCTCCCTAAGTCATCATTCTCCCGTCTCCAGCTCAGTGTAAATGCCCCTGCCTTGTGTTTTTCAGCTCTGATTCAAAACTGGCCTTGGTTGACCCCAGCTGCCTCAAACCCTTCAGAGAAAAGAGTCTTTGTTCCATTCTACTGACAGCTTCACCTCCAACTGGCTGCAGTGCTTGGCACACCCCACCTCCTGTTCTCTGAGCGGTCACTGCAACCTTTTCCTCACCCAATGGGCACCCTTTGTGTTTCTGCTAGCTTGGATGAGGCATGTTCACCTTGCCTTTCAACCCCCCCTATACTTCCATGTCCTTTATTTTATTATTTTACAAAAATATGATCTGTAAATTGGAACTTAGAGACATTGCAACTTTTGTTCCTATAAAGCTTAACTATCAATTCCTTTATGCCACAGAGTTCTCTTGAACCTACAGAGGGTCATAAAAAGGAAAGTATAATCTGTTATCCCATTTTTAATATTTTTATAAATCACTCAAAACAGCAAATATACATAATGCTCTTTCTTCCTCTGATTTCGCCCACAACAACCCTAGTATTCTGTTTTGATCATTGTAGCATCAGAACAACAATGCTGTGATAAAGTGGGGGGGGGAGAAACTGTAAGGGTCTGTTTTACTGTCAGGTAATGCAGCAAGGAGCTGTGATAACATCTTTGTGTGCAAGCATCTGGGAAAGCAAAGAAAAGGTGCATGGACTAATAAGAAGGGCACTGTAGGCCAGTCCAAACAGGAACTAGTCAATGTGGCTTGCCTTCCCTACATGGGCTGGGAAAGGCAAGGAGCAGAGAAATGAGCAATCAGATCTTGCAGTACCCATGATCAGGACTGAGCTCAATCTGGCCCAACTCACTGTAACCCAGGTTGGAATTTCTGAAGTTGACCTAAGAAACAACTGGAAGCAGCAAGGGAGGCAAGTAGCTTGTCTTGCGATGCAGAATTTTCCAGAGCAGCCACTTTGAGCCAGTCTTCCTCCCTCTCTTCCTGTTGCTTCATATTTAAAGGAGGAAGGAAGGAAGGAAGGAAGGAAGGAAGGAAGGAAGGAGGAGGAGGAGGAGGAGGAGGAGGAGGAGAAGAAGACGACTTCAAAATAAACACATGTCACAGCAACTAGCATGCATATAAGAGATTTCATCTGCAGTGAAGAATAGAATACAGGCATTTCTCCCTGTAACAAATAATTTTGAGTACTACATTACTCCACACTTGGGAGCATAAAACTTGTTTTAAAATAGAAGATTGGGAAAGAAAAAGTGTCTATTTCAATCAGGTTGGGTACTATTTATAGCAGAAATAATTCTCAGGTGTACCTTACAACAGATGATTGCAGAGGAATACTCATGCATTTATCTGGTAGCATGTGGACTAGAATATTCTGATTTACTAATAAACTCACTAGCTGAAGATATTTTTGGTTGAATAAAAGATGATACATACTGTAATTTACCTAACAATCGTTTTACACCAGGATGTCTTATTAATGGTTGAGATGAAGACCCACCACCATCAACACCACCCACCATATGGCAGCCCAGATGTATTGGAAGAGGTTTCTTTTGGTGCTCAGAGCTAGAGCTTGGCTTGGTTTGGAGAGAGGGAGGTAGAACAGGCTAGTTTCTGGAAACTAAATGCCATCCAAAGGAAGATTAAGGCCTGGCAGAAAGGACAAATGACTATATGCATAGACTCTGGGCTCTCAGGCATTGTGGTTTTCAAAATTTCCCTGAGCATTTCAGGACCAAGGAATTACAAAAAAGAAGTACGATCGGCAGGCAAAATAATTCTTCTAACAGTTCTTAATGCCATGAGCATCTGCTCCCGGGGTGGTGCTGGTGCTGGTGGTAGTGATGGAACCTGATAGTGGGGGGGGGTCAGAGTAGGCAAGGGAAGGCATTTTATTTTCTTCTGCTCTGCCAAAGACCCGAGGGAACAGCTCTCTTTTGAAATAAAGAGTTTGGTTTGGAGAGACATTTTTCACTCACAGAAAACGTACAGAATTCTACCGGAAGCAAATATCACCTTTGGAAGGGAGATTTTCCTCTGCCAAAAGCAAAGAAAGAACTGTATCATTGGATCCTAAGAGGTGTCCCAGTTAATGTTCTGATCTCTTTAATTATTACCTTCCAGGCTGGGATGCATTAGATATGCATTCTTGCAAATACACAGAGTTTGACCAGAATCAGGAACCAGAAGGGAGCAATCAATATGATTAAACACCACAGAACTCAGGGGAGAAAAATCATTTTGAATATTAAGAGAGGCAAAATATCTCCCTTTGAAAGTGCAACCATAAGGCAAAAAACCTCCCCAAAAGAACATCCTTGCCATAATTCTGCTAGTGCATAGGAACTTTACTATATTCCCTCTGGGCAACTTAAACATTTTGATTATGCTTGTGAACATGTCAAAACCTAATTGAGAAAGCCATCCTATAGAGTCATTTCACCTGACCCATTTCACCTTACCTATGAGGAAGTCATAGCATCTGGGTCTTGTTTCCTTTAAGAGCTGTTTCTGCCACCTATTTTCTCCTGTACCCCAAGAGGTTTGCTGCATTGAGACGCTGCCTTATCCCAGGGCCAGTCTTAAGTAAGTTTTCATAGTCGTTCTAATTGGCTTTTATGTTTTGGGTGGAGAAGTCACCATCTCCTGGATTGCATCAGGAAATGAGAGTTCCAGAGTTACATGATAAGATTAAACTTCCCAGCTCAGTCCTCTCTATGCAAGCTGGAGATTCTAGGTCCTAGAATCTAGGACATGATGAAGGACATTTGGGAGATGAGTGGGTCAATTGCTCACCCATGTTTTCAGACTCTTTGCAGCCTAACCTCTGTTGCCTTCACAAGCAGCATGAATCATCATAGTAGGCATCAGTAAAAATGTTAAAAGGAATAGAACAGGGGTCTTCAAACTTGGCCCTTTTATGACTTGTGGACTTCAACTCCCAGAATTCCTCAGCCAGCGTGCCTGGCTGAGGAATTCTGGGAGTTGAAGTCCACAAGTCATAAAAGGGCCAAGTTTGAAGACCCCTGGAATAGAAGATGGTTTGATGAAGAGATTTTCCTCTCCGTTCCTTTTTCCTTTTTCTCATAATTATCAGTCAAGAATAGACAAATCTGCTTCCAGTCCTTGTTCTTTTTTTCCCAGAGGAGAAGAAAAAAGAATTTTATTCTTTCTCACTAAAATACCTTCAGTTATTGTCTAATCATGGATGGCTTTTAATTCTGTTAAATATGAATGCAAATCAACAAACACCCTTCCTGTAAAGGTATGCAGTTGCATTGACAAAAATGCAGGTCTTTACATGTTGTCAGAAGCACCATCACACTCCAGCTACTCTTTATCAGGTTAATCTTGGGGCTTTACAGAGGTTATCCTTATTACAAAAAGTGGGAAATGCATTATCTCTTGCTGCTTTGTTGACTCCAATAGTTGACTCGATAAGGCTGTTACCCATCCTGTACTTGTCTCTGTCATGGTCAACACTCCGGTGTTTGCTTTTTGCGTCACATAGAAATGACCAAATTTAGTTCTGCTCTAAGACCCTTCACAGGTGTACATGCTGGGACTATGTTATCTGAGGGTACATACTGTCCAGACCCCTCGGGATTGTCCCTGTTCTGGTTTCTACTGATTCTTTCTACCTAATACAAGAGCTGGAATTAGATCCAGTTTTCTTAATGTAAGATTTCCCATTGATCTATCTCTTGTTTCCACTCACCAAAACATCCATATATTTCACTAAGGCAGGGATAGGCAACCTTGGCTCTTTTATGACTCATGGACTTGCTTGGCTGGCTCAGGAATTCTGGTAGTTGACGTCCATGACTCCTAAAAGAGCCAAGGTTGCCTACCCCTGCACTAAGGGATAGGATTTTGACTGGACACAATGTCCACTTTAAAAACTGGGTTTATGTTTGAAAAATGGAAGCCCACAATTATTTTCTTACTTCAATCCTGGAAGTCAAATATTCCTGACACTTTTTTATTTGAGCAGATTGAATTTTCATGTTCACAGACTTTCCTCTAAAACTGTAATCTGATAGAGATAGGGCTCACACATCAGCCATATGTAATCTTGTTTTAAACATTCATTTTCAGATTATTCTTAATCAATTGATTGAAAAAGGGTTTGGCAACTTGAATATTATTTTGCAAACCTTTCTAACTCTTAAATATGCCTTAGTTTTGCCTTAATCGGGATATCGTAATATTTTAATTCTCATGGCCAATAATTCTTTTTCCTCTTTCCTCATGCTATTCTAAAGTCACCAAGAATTATACTGGATTGTTGCTTATCCTACAAGGTCAGAACAAGACTTATTCAATTCTGTGATGAAAACTGCATCCATGTCTCAGCTATCAAGGAAGAAATATATACCCAACATGTATACATGTATATAGTTCACTAAGATTGCTAAACAACAATTAAGGAAGATCCTATCTTACCTCCCCACCGCTCGTTCAGGAATAAATTAAATCACATAGTAGTTGCAAAAGGACAAATTGATATTCAGGAAAAGTAGCCTATGATGAGTAGCACAAATATTCTTGACAAGTCAGGAATTATGACTAACACTTACAAGGGAAGCATGAAAATAAAATGGGAATGGGAGCAGGAATAATTTAGCATCTGGGATTATGGCTTGCCACAGATATAATCTGGATTGCAATATTTTGTGAATCCCATTTGTACAACATTCAACATAAGTATGCATCACAGTAAGCTTTAGAGTCAATTCCAGCTCTCGAGACATGTGCCCAAAAGTTCTGGTTTATAGCATTAATTTTTAACATTTCTTTTACTAAACTCAAATGAAGATAATTTTTAACCCTCAAAGAGCTACTAAATTCTTACTTCCATCTCAACTCTTTTCCACCATCCCAACTACCCCCAACAGAACTATTTCTGTTTTCTACTTATTTATCTATTAGTTGTGGCTCTGCCTTTTCTCAGGGGTATTTGTAAGGGAATGTAGGGATTGCCTTCTCTTACCTGATAGATGTCACACAACTGTTCAATTGATAACACATGTTGCAGACAGACAGCTTTATAACCCTGGACTTCTGAGCTTGGCTCAGAATTAATCCTTGACAGTGATCTTTGAGACGCCACTCCCTCTTTGCTTTAATGTCACTACACTGGTCCTGCTGTTTCTCCACTTGGATGAGGTTCCAGAGGTATTTCTGTTGTGCTTCTTGGATCAGAGCCCTGGCTTGGCTGATGATTTGGCCCAGGACTCTGGGACTTTATCAGAGTCAAGATGGATGGATGAGGGTGAACAAACTTGAGACACTGCCAGTTCCCTCCCCCACCTATTCTTTTAAAGAAGATGCAAGTACTGTGCATTTGGCAGAAGGGGACATCCAGACAATCTTTCCCCTAATCAGGGATAGGCTGGACTTCTCATCGCTAGCACTGATCTTACCTAGTTTGGGTAATGAAACAACTGCAGGAAAACAACCTAGCTCAGAGAACACCAAGGACCCCTCATTCTCAACCTTTGCTTGGATTGAGACCAATCATAGCTTTAGAGCACGGGAGGAAAAACGACCGATCACCTGGCAGAATAAAACCTTTCCCCCCATCCCAGGCAAAACTCAAGGTTGCTTAGAAAGAATGAAAGAAAGAAGTTGTAAATATTCAGGATCACAGCCATTTTTATTCAGAAGCCTGCTAGGGACATGGTCTGACCAGAATTCTCTTTCTGAAATCTGAAGGGTGTCAATTTGGCAAAATTGTTGTGTGGAAACTAATGGAAAGGAGCAGGGAAAGACCAGTAGGAGAACACCCTCCTGGAAGCAGAATGAGGTTGGGTTAGAGGAGAATTTAGAGCAATTCTCATTAATCAGGGGAGCAACAGGCAGAAGGAGAGATGGTGGCAGCAGGGGGCAGACTGGCCTTGGGGAAGGGGGATTGGCTTCAAATATTTATGAGATATTCCGGTATTGATCAGTCTTTGGCAGATTTCTGGGAGGATTCCTTACTTCAGCTAATAATCAGCATCCTCAAATATTCCCATGTACTATCAATCAGGGCAATACAATTCATTTGCTAGGAATGATACAGTACTATTTCAGCAAGAGTTATTTATTTATTAAATTCATATGGCACCCATCTCGCTATCCAAGTGACTCTGGCAATGCTATACCGATACATGGAACGCTACATTACATTTCATCCATGAGGAAAGGCAGGCAGGTTGAAGCATAATAAAATATACCCACCTTGACTTTCTAGCAAATAAAGAAGGAAAAGTAGATTATTTTATGATTTCCTCTTTTCCTATTCCACCCCAGGTTCCAACACAGAAGACGGAGCAGATATAAACTATCTTATTTGGTTATCCTGAATTGCCTATTGGCTTCCCATTGCTATTCTTTATCTGCTTATTTTGTAGATTAAAGGCTGCCTCTGCCACTTAAGCAAGATGGAAACATCTCTCAGCTAAGCTATATAAATAAATGTCACAAACTCAGAGTGAAACTCAACATTTAATCTTATCTCTTTTCTTACTCTTTCAAGCTCTCAATATTCTTCACTTTTATGTCATCTCATTTATCCATATACCTATACCTCACCTTCAGACATCTTCTCTAGTTCTATTTATTGATATAAATGTAAATTGCAGATTCTGCTCAAGTTTTGACTATTATTTACTTTCTCAGCTGTTGCTGCTACATAGCAGCATTTCCTTTGATGGCTATTTTGCCATTCAGTTGGTTTTCATATAATTAATAATTTTAAGAAATTGATCTTCTTGAGCAAAATTGCTAGCACTACATTGAAAAAAACTCAGTTTGATCAGTTGTAATATCTAGATGGTTATTATCTGGACAAGAAGCAATGGATGGAAACTAATCAAAAAGAGAAACAATTTAGAACTATGGAGAAATTTCCTGACAGAATAATTAATCAGTGGAACTTATATATATGAATATATTCTGGCAATCATTAGCTTTAAGTTTCTGGATGATTGTCATGAGGTTGTAGACTAATCGTTTTCACAAGGTGCTTCCTTTTAGTTTAAGGTTTATTCCTAATGATATTTCATGCTGCATAACATGTGGATCCTTCATTTCACTCAACTGCATAATCTGTTGTGTTGGCAGGTTGGTTGGTTAGATCAAGACACTATCTCAGTGTGAAGATTTTTAGAATTGAATTATAACACAAGCCACAACATCTGCATCATCAATGCTGATGGGATACCATTTTGCAGAGGGAGGGGGGAGAGGCAGAGAGAGAGAGAGAGAGAGAGAGAGAGAGAGAGAGAGAGAGAGAGAGAGAGAGAGAGAGAGAGAGAGAGAGAGAGAGAGAGAGAGATTGGATTTCCCTATTTCCATCACAGAGCTTTTTCTTTCTAAGAATGTGGTTCATCTTATAGTAATTTCTATTGAACTTAATTGTATTAACAGAACAATTAAAAAGGAGCAAATGAAATGCAGATATAGGAAGAGAATGCACACAGAGGTCCTAATATGATTTATATTTTATTTCCAAATCTGTCACTTTCTTGGTACAGGTTTAGATGGCCGGGGAGAAAGTATATAATGTCTTTGCCACTTGCCAATAAAGAAAGAAAAGGAAGAAAAGGGAGAGAGAAAAAATGGACTGACCCCCAAATGTCTTCCAGAGCCTAGGCCACCACAGGTACTATCAATGAGTCCCTGGAGATTTGCAAATTACAAGGAAGAAAGATTTTTTTTCCAGGAATATTCTAAGTTTCAAGGCAATAGTAAGAGTACCGGTTGCCAGGAACAACTCTGCAAAGCAAGGAAGGCAGGAGATAATGCTTGCTGATCAGTGTCTTTGTTCCTTTTTTGGCACATGTTGCCAGCTAAACATTTGGGAATCCAATGACTTCACTCCATTTTCATTCAGACAGAAAGCAGTGCTTCTGGCTATGATCCAGCCTTCTTTCTCAATCTTAGAAACTGACTATGTAAGTTTCAAAAATTGCTCAGATCAATAGAATTAAATCTGCACACAGTAAGGTACAAGTATATATGTGTTCAATTATACGGGAAGTGCAATGTTACCGTAAGCAACCAATTGTGGAAGCTGCGTCCTAAGAAATTTCCAGTCATCAGCAATTCTGATACGGATATATGTGGAAGACAGAAGGTTTTCACTGATGGCTCATTCTGTTTTAAACTGAAATAAAGTTTGTGTAATCACACCTCCTATCAAGCTCTTCCAGAAGGGGGGTAAATATTGACTAAACCCAACATAAATCAATTTAGAAAATAACAAGAAAAAAAAGAGCTCCATGAACCATCCAGATTGTTTATTAATATACCCGGAAGTGCACATTTTGGATTGAAAGGATAAAGTGCCCTTTTGGAAATTCATTTGACCCTTTTCAACAACTCTTAAAGCAGCCATGTCTTTTTCAGGATTATGTAGTAGTTCTTTGTAACTGCAGCACAATCTGAGGAAGAGGAGCGCTCGGTTTAAGGAGTTGCCAACAAAGGGCTCCAAAATGCCCTTTTCCCTTTGAATTTCAAGTGCTCACAGCTTTAATAATTAAGATCAAAGACGTATTGAATCACTGAGGAATGGAAAATATAAAGTGTCCCCCCCCAAAAGAACTGTAGACAATCTTTCTTGAACTCTGTGTAATAAATAAAAATATGGTCTCTGATTTAACTATATATGCATATATAGATTGGAAAAAATAATGTAAAGAAGCTTTTTCTAGGTATACAGTTGCTATAGCTTGATGGACACACAATAGGACTTTTACATTCAGCACACATGCGCTTTGACAAAAGAAAGGGGTTTAACTGTCTGCATATTGCTTGACCCAGATCCCTACCCTCTCCCATGAGGGACATCAATACAATGGCCATAAAAATGAGACACCCACCTTTTCAAGGGCTTGATGCATAATGACTGCTTTTCTCCATTCTGGATGGAGTGTACGGAACAAAGACAACTCTGATCAAAGGTTACAGTGACCCACCTTTACTCAGAGATTGGATGGAAGACTGAAATGGAGCCCTTTCCCTCCCAAAACTACAGACTGTGGAATGCATTGGAGAATAATTAAAATCTTTCCCTTTTCTCCTTTTTTTTAATCATGGTAATTAAACTAATGGAAAGGATTCTGTGAGGAGTGGTGGAAAGAATAGATGTCATCCACCTCTGACAATCACAAAGTGTAAACATTGACAGTTCCCAGTATAAACATTAAATCCACTTTGTTTAACAATTAAACTACAGAATTCTGGGGTTGCAATGCGACAGTAAATAAAGTATTATGAACAAGAGAACACAACCAAGGAAGTCTGAAACTTGAGGAACCTTATAGCCAAATCATTAATTGTAATTATAGTTACAGCTCTACTGTAAGTTGGGTTCTCTCAGAGCTAATATTCTAGACAACCATTCAGAGAGACATGTTGACGCAGCTTCTGTGCAGGGCTGGGCTTCCTCAAGCGACTAAATTGAAAGAAGCTAAATACTCTTGTGTATTTGGAAATAAAATACTTTAAAGCAGTGGCTCTCAACCTTGGCAACTTTAAGATGTATGAACTACAACCCCCAGAATTCTCTAGTCAGCATGCTGGCTGGAGAATTCTGGGAGTCAAATACATCTTAAAAGTCACTGAGGTTGATAAACACACACCAGGGAGAAGGCTGCCTTTCCCATCCTCACCCTCCCAAAACATCTTTTAATCAAACATTTATGACTGGTTATTTCACAGTTATATATAGCCACGAAAGGCCCTCTTTGTATGAATATCGGTATTTACTCTCTGATGTGAAAGAGGGAAACAGGAAATGATATCAGAATCAAACCACAATTCTTCTCAAGCACAGGTCACATATTCCATATTATATCATTTGTGTAATGGAAAAGAACAAAAGTATTGTTGACTTCCTGGTCAAATTATGCGTCCATGATGGAAACCAGAGGAAATAATTAGATGTGATAAATTTACCTTAGTGGCATGTTGTTATGATAATCTGCATTGGTGGTTCTGGCTACTCTCCAATAGAAGAGTCTGAGGAACTGAAGAAGATAATAATTCAGGAGTATCTGAATGGGTACATAGCATTAAGCTTTTATTGCCTATAGTGTAACACCTTCATTCTCCACAACACAAGTATGCTCTTTCACACTGCACAGTAGCTTTCATTACTGTTTTCACCTTTGTGACTTGGATGTATTCACTCTCCCAACAGTAAGTAAACGTCATTAGCTTGGCCCGTTCAGAGGTGGTTAAGACTTTTAGTACTCTCTTCATGAAAAAGAAATAAATTCATGGCCATCGAAAGTAGCAGTGGTGAGAAATAAAACGCAGAATGTCAGTTTCAATTCCTTTCTTTCTTTTTTTTGCACCTCTTTCATTTTGATTTTAGATCCTACTATGCTAGGAATGCAATATTTCATCTGTTACAGTAATACAAGGAGATAACCATCTAATAAAGTTGACTTTGGCTACAAATCTCATTTTCTCCTTGTTTTTTTTTTTAATAATTCTAAAGCCAAATCAAAACAGGTTCTTGAGAGAAATATAATTTGCTAAAACACCTGGAAATGCATTTGGTTTAGAGCAGGAATGTATTTATCCTTCTGTAATGGGTATGGATATAACGGTTGAAATGGTTTAAATATTTAACTTGTTTTAGATGGGAAATTCTTTCAATCCAAAGGATCAACAAAAATAAATTGTGAAAAGGCAAATAGAAGTTTATCCCCAAGGCATCTTTTTGAAATAAATTTGCTAATGATCCCTATTTAAATAGTAAGCATCTCTGCAGATGTGGATTATATATAAACAATATATACCACTGCTATGTGTCACTGGGGAAAAAGGGTACATCATTTAAGGACTCCTTTAAAAGGGAGTTTTTAGAAATTTACTAGAAATTTCTTCTTGTTTCATTGGTGAGACGGGTCATCCAAGTATCCTGGAAGAATTAGATGAACTGAGGTTCTTTGTACAGGTACTCCTCAACATACAACCATTAATTTAGCGACTGTTCTAAGTTACAATGGCACTGGAAAAAGTGACTTATGACCAGTCCTCACATTTGTGACTGCCACAACATCCCCATGGTCTTATGATCAAAATTCAGGCACTTGGCAATTGGTATGTACTTTTATGATGGTTGCAAATCCCGGCAATTTGTTTCCTTCCCGGTCAGCTTCTGACAGGCAAAGCCAATTGGGGGTGGGGGAACCCGATTCGCTTAACGGCATTTAACCGCAGTGATTTGCTTGATATCCATGACAAAAAAGATTGGAAAATCAGACAAAACTCATTTAACAATGGCTTTGCTTAGCAACAGAAATTCTGATCCCAATTGTGATCGTAAGTTGAGGAATACCTGTATGGAATTTTGACACCTTGATTGTTACTTCAGGAGGATCCCCATTTAAAGCAGCAAACTGGCATGGATTTACTGGAGGCCATTTTGCTTATAAATTGAGAGAAAAATCCCAATCTTACAGCTTCTTGCTGACTATACAGTGCTATAAAAATGCACCAGCAAGGGGAAAAAAATCAATGATTGTAGCTTCAACGATGAGTTCTACACACACACACACACAGAGAGAGAGAGAGAGAGAGAGAGAGGTAGAAGGAGAGGGAGAGGGAGAGGGAGGGAGGGAGGGAGGGAGGGAGAGAGACAGAGAGAGAGAGAGAGAGAGAAAGAGAGAGAGAGGGAGAGAGGGAGAGTGTGAGTGTGTTACCAGATGCAAGTGTTTCTTTGGGGGGAAAAGTTTGCTAGAGAGGAAGAAGGAAATTATAAAAAAACTTAATTTCATCTGTGTTTCACAGACAGCATCCAGTGCCAAAACAAATTTCAACTAAGGCCAAGTTCAGATTCCACTCTGCTAATACAATGGACACTCCAAGAGGAGCATCAATACAACTCTGTTAGAATATATAAATACACGAGGTTCCCAAAACGTATAATTGTTCTAGCACCAGAAAGTATACAAAGCTGTTTCGGGTCCCAGGCTTGTTAGACTGGGGATATATGATAAAGCAAATGAGATCCTAGAGCCCAATTACAAATGCGCTGACTTAATTTAGGGATGAGAATACCCTTGTCCCAGCACAATATTTGCCACTTACTGTTGGCTCATGAGGAGATAAGATATAGACATTCAACAAGACCAACCTAACACACAACCTGAAAAAAGTCTGCAGGAAAAGGTCCCTCCATTTTTCTGCCTTGAGCCTTACCAGGAAAGGCTGCATAACATCGCCTCATGCCACAATCCAAATGCATCATGGACAGCTAGAAAACAAGATCAGCATCACAGCAATGGGAACAGAAGAACCGTAAAAATAACCATAGAAATTTCTCTTCTCTCTGATTACAAAGATACAAAAATGTATAAAACCCTTCCCGCACCCACGTCTTGCAGCCACCCCACCCTGTCATGTTTGCACAGAGTACAGAAAAATGGTTTTGGAAAGGAAGATTTCAGTTGGTCCAGTTTGGAGATGCTATCAATGGTGAGTTTTGCCCATGGTGTGGTAGCTTCCCTCCTTCCCATTAGGGTGTCCCTTTGAATGGGGAGAGGGGTCCTGTGGCACCCAGACACCTTTCTTTCACAGTCAGGTGAGTGCACCTTGCCGATTCCCATCCCACCAAATTCTCCACCACCGAATGCTGGAGGAGAGCATAGTTGGTCTTGGCTTCCACAAAGCCTCCATCTTTCTTTCTTGTAGGCCTTCTGAGGGATCCTGGTCCTCTGCTGGAAGTGCTTGGTCCTGCAGTGCCTCTTGGTTCTTCTCACAGCAGCTGGGCCCCTCAGGAATGACCTTCACTTCTTGTTAATCTTCTCAGGGGAAAAAAAAACAAAAGGCATAACTGAGATAGCCACTTCTCTTGAGGAAGTAAAAAAAAAAAATCAACATTGCATCCCAGAATTGGCTGTATTGATTAATAAGGATGCAGAAATACCCCTCCTCTCCCACAAATCCAACGTGATGACAAACACGGTGGGAAGACAATCAACAGAACTAAAGAAGAATTAAATAAGCATGCTGTGTGAACATAACCCTATGCCACTAATTCTTCTCCAAACCACATCTCAAAATAAGATAAAAGAATTACATTGTGCATTGTCAACGTGGCGTGAACTACGGTCAGATGGGCTGAAATGCACAATAGCCTCATACAGTGTGGAACGTAAGCTGAACACCCAAGAATGGCCAGACAGTTTTCTTATCTCATGGTGAAATGGAAGGACAGCCTCTCTTCAATCACATGTACCTTTCCATCAGGCGGAAGAGGTGGGTTCTGGGTCCTATCTGCCAGGGACTGTTGCCTAGCAGGATCAAGGAAGAAGGACTTTTCTACTATGGCATTTCCTCTTCCCCCCCACCTCCAGAAAATCATCCCCCAAGACATCCAATTGGCCCCAGCCTTGCTGACTTTCCATAAGCTCTGAAAATTGGTTTTGCCGTCAGGCATGGAGAGTTGAGAATAAGAGAGATAAATTTGGTTGTATTGTTGGTTATACATAGATATTAGAATAACTCAGCTGTGAATTTTGCTGTATGGTTTCTATTGTTTTTCAATCATTATTTTTACATTATTTTGGTGTTTTATATTGTTTTTTAAATTCTTTCTGAACTCTCCAGAACCGTATACTGGAGACGGGCAGCTATCGGTTGTCATTGAGTTACAACCATAATTGGGATCAGAACTGTGATTGTTAAATGGTGAGTCATACAGTGAGACATCATGTGACCACATCACTTAGCAACACCCAATACAAGCCATTTCAGGTTTGAGTCCTTCCTGCCCCAAGATTCAGTAAGTAAGGATCTGCCTTCCCTTCAACTTCCCTCACCCACCAACCTCTTCCCCCAATGTGCCCTTTTGGCAGTCCTGCATCCTGTGTCCTGCCTTCCCCAGCCCATCCAACATGGCTACCCTGCATTCTGGAAAAAAAAGGGGGGAGGCAAAATATCCTTTTCTTTGCCTCAGAAAACCAGCCCCATCCCCACCTAGGAGCCCTTTGCAAAGAGCTCCTGGCTGGGACTTGGACTGGCTTTGTCCTGCAAAAAAGGGCTGTTTTAGGCTTCCCTTCCCCCCCCCCTTTTTTTTTTTGCAGCACAAAATTAGTCCCTGGAAGCTCTTTGCAAAGGGGTGTTGGGGTATGATATGATTGCTTTTGACTACTCTTCCCCCCTTTTTTTGCAGTAGAGAAGCTAGTCCCAGCCTGGTCCAGCTGCCAGGCCAGAATAAGAGAACTTGCCGCAGCCAACTCACTGCAGGACTCAATTTTCTATCTATCTATCTATCTATCTATCTGTCTATCTATCTATCTATCTATCTATCCATCCATCCATCCATCTAATTTTTTTGTCATTCAAATTTCATTCTGTCCCTCCTTTTGCATCCTTTCTTTAATGATTCTATTCTACCATTTCTTTGATATCACTGTAACTCTTGTCCTGCAGCAAATTGGCCTTGGTGAGTTGTTTGTGGCAAGTTGGCTGCGGCGAGCTGGCTGCGGCAAATGATCATAAACCCCTGCCAGGCTGGGTATGCTTTGTCAGGGGCAACAAGATGGCAAAGCTGAACTGGGGCAGTGGCACACAGTGGCAGTGGGTCAAAAGGGCATAGATGGGAGCAGAGATAGGTTGGGGGCAGTTGTGGCCCCTCTGTAGACATACGAATAGGCAGGTTGCCAAGTGCCCACATTTTGAGTGGAAATATGGGCACTACAATGGCTTAACTTTGGGCACAAGTTGTAATTCCCTTCATTCAGGACTGTCACAACCTAGTTGCTGAATGAATGGTTGTAAGTAGAGGACTACCTGTAAACTGAATGAATGAATAAATAAATGAGCAAGTATTTGAGCTGCTTTTAGTTAATTTAAATCCAAAAAGACCCATAAAGAGGTAAGTCTGAGAATTCTCCCAGG